GGGTTTGTTCCTAGTAAAGTTGTCCAGGAACACATCCAGGTGAAAGAGAAAAGCATAAATGAGAAGTAATTTGATTGGCTCAACGGAAGTTAAGCAGATTTGTGGAAGCCTGGGGAAAACATCTGTACTGTTCTAACCTCAACCCACAAATATCTTGTCTCCTTGAGATTCAAAAAGAAATCCTGACTTGTTGGCTGTTTGCTGGAAGCCAAGAGACTTGTTTGTTTTCCCCATGCTGGACTCTGCATTTGGTGGCCTTAGTGAGGACCTTGTCCAACTCGTTCACACCCCGCTCAGTTCCTCAGCTCTCACACAGACACCAAACCTTTCCCAGCAGGGCTCTGTTTGCACCCAATCTTTCCCACTTCCACCCAGAATAAGTTCTGTCTCTCATCTCTGAAGTGAGACAACAGCCCCATAAACACCCTTTTACTTTTTGCAGTTTGGTGACCTATTAAGCTGTCTGTAAAAATCAACAAGTGGTGTTCGAATTTTAATCTCAAGGCAATAAATGGGACAATTTGCATCTCGTTACTATCTCAGGCTCTTGCCTCGTGTCTGTTCACACAGGTCTGTGCTGATTCAGCAAAGCCAGTGCAGGTTTGGACGCAGAGAAGCCTCCAGTTTATACTTTAAGTATTTTCTTTGCTAATTTAAGAACTGGACATGAACCACCAGCACCAGGCAGAAGTTTTGAGGCACCTTTGAGCAGGTGCATTAGAACCTGAACCAAGGAATACCAGAGGGTCTTACACATGAACGACCTTGGCCAAGGCACAGATTTCCAGTTCGTAAGACCATCAAGTGAATTATTCTTTCCAAATAATGAGGAAAATAAAACAACTAGTATTTTTATTTAACCAACATAGCAAACTTGTTGAGTGTACACTCAGTCCCACTGTCCACATCACCAACAAAGGTGCTGAAGAGCACCGGTCCCGGTACTGACACCTGAGGAACACCACCCGTCACTGGTGCCACTTGGACATCAAGCCGTTGACTGCAACTCTTTGAGTGCAGCCATTCAGCTGGTTCCTTACCCACCGAGTGGTCCATCCATCAAATCCATGCCTCTCCTATTTAGAGACCAGGATGTCATGCAGGACAGTGTCAAATGCTTTGCACAAGTCCAGGTAGAAGATATTGGTTGCTCTTCCCTTATCCACCAACACTGCCACCCCACCATAGAAGGCCACCAAATTTGTCAGACATGGTTTGCCCTTAATAACGTAGCAAACTTGTTGAGTGCACACTCAGTCCCACTGTCCACGTCACCAACAAAGATGCTGAAGAGCACCAGTCCCAGTACTGACACCTGAGGAACGCCACTTGTCACTGGTGCCACTTGGACATCAAGCCGTTGACTGCAACTCTTTGAGTGCAGCCATCCAGCCGGTTCCTTACCCACTGAGTGGTCCATCCATCAAATCCATGTCTCTCCTATTTAGAGACCGGGATGCCATGTAGGACAGTGTCAAATGCTTTGCACAAGTCCAGGTAGATGATGTTGGTTGCTCTTCCCTTATCCACCAACACTGCCACCCCACTATAGAAGGCCACCAAATTTGTCAGACATGATTTGCCCTTAATGAGGCCATGTTGGCTATCACCAATCACGTCCATATTTTCCATGTGCCTTAGCAGAATTTCCAGGAGGATCTTGCTGGGTGAGAGGTGACACTGACTGGCCTGTAATTCCCCAGGTCTTCCTTTTTTCCCTTTTTAATGGGGGTTATGTTTCCCATTTTCCAGTTGATGGGAAATACACCAGACTGCCACAGCTTCTCAAATATGGACAGTGGCTTAGCAACTTCACCCGCCAGTTCCCTCAGGAGCCATGGATGAATCTCTTCAGGTACACATGGACTTGTGCATCTTCAGGTTCTTTAGATGGTCTCAAACCTGGTCTTCTCCTACAGTGGGTGGTACCTCCTTCTCCCAGTCCCTGCCTTTGCCTTCTGTGATATTGTGTCACCACAATATTCAAGGTGAGGACATGCCATAGAATTCCTCTGTAGTATAATTTACTTTTTCCCCAATTTTTTCCAAGGAATTGTTAACGTTCTATTTACCTTTTGGCTGTTGTAGACCACTGATCTGCTGTCTCGCAACTCTACAAAACTGTGCAAAATGACTCCCAGATCCCTGTATTGAGAATGTCAGAGTAATTTAAAACCAACTGTGTGATGCAGTTAGTATTTTTCCCTGTGACAATGAAGCTTATTTCTCAGTCTCTCAGTATTGAGATGTTTTTTTTTTCCTAGCTCTTCTATCATTCTGTCATCAAGAATCTTAGTCATGTTTTCCTTTATCAGATTATCTGCTAAAATGTTGACCAGATGCCCCTGGCATGTTCCCAGAAGCCAAGAAGCATCTCATTTATTTCTTGAAAACCTAATTTTCTTGAGACTTTATATATATATAAAAAAAAAAAGCAGCAAGGAAAAAAGCCATCCCATCCCAAAGCATGTGCACAGCACGGAGAAGGTCCCTTTGTTCCCATGCCCACTCTTTCAGAAGAACATTAATATCTTTGTAAGGCGTAACATCCTGCTGTGAGAGCTGTGATGATTCTTCACAGTATGTCACAGATACGCTTCCAGCACTTTAGGACTTCACAAATCCACCTGTTTTCGAGGTGATTCCTCAAGTGAAGCACACGCTTGGGAAAACAGTACACTTTATAAAAGCTAAGGCTGTGAAGGAAAAGTGGATTAGTATTGCCAAGATGTGGAACTACCGCAACGCTGATGTCAGAAGTTGGATCCCCTTTTTTGGCTCTCTCAAATGGAGCTCCTGCGTGTGATGCCAAAAACCAGTTGGGTGAGTGGGACAAATTACCAGCAGCTCTTCCACAGGCAGAAACAGTCACGAGGAAGAAGCTGCTGCTCCCAAATGAGCGTTGGTGTCAGAGGCACCGGAGCGGTGCCTGAGCTGCCGCCCCACACCTCCCACGGGTCCTGGCCCAGCGCGCTGTGGCTGTAACTCCTGCCCCACAGCTTGCCCTCTCCTTACCAGCCCTCCCATTAACTATGGGTGCACAGCATCCCCCATTCTCACATTCCACTCTCAATATGTAACAAAACAAGCCCCAAATCTTATTTTTGACAAGGAATTATAAAAACTTGAGCAGTGAGCTTTCATCTCCCCTTCATTCCCAGTTTTAGAAGAGAATTATAGACCAGCTGGCTTGCCTAAAGTCCAGCTACCAAGTCAGGATCTAAATGTGCTTTTTTTTTTTACCCTACAATTGCTTTCTCTTCTAAAAGACAATTTTTAATTCTTAATTTTTTAGTTTGGATTGAGTACAGGATTTTTAAAATTATTTCAAATAGCTAATTTGAAAGCCCCGAAAGACAAGCAATCTATTGCAGCTGTTTGAGGTTAATGATGTCATTTATAGCTTTCCTCTTCTACACTGACCCTTTTTCCGCTCATAATTTCATACGGTGGATGGAGGCTTACATAAAGCTACCCACTTTGCATGCATCACAGCTGAAGGATGTATTTTGTTTCTTGATTTTAGCAAGGACACGTACTTCAACTAGGCTGTGCCATTCCTAAGCACACAGTTAAACTGCCTAGTCTCTGGGTGAAGGGAGTAAGCTCCATTTTCCATACACAAATGATTAATAGGAAGCTATGTGTGTTCATTGGATTTTTTTTAGCCTTTGTGTAACATCTTCCTGGCAAAAGGGAATGTATATCCTATTATTAGTAAAAGAAAATACTAAGAAAAGTTTTAGCTCTGTATAAACAATGCTTGATCCTTCGTAAGGTCAACTATTTTTCCTCCTGAAGATCTCTTTCCCTTTTATTCCAGAATGAAGTAAAGATCCCTAAATTCACTATCTTTAACTTCTGCTTTAATTAAAAACAATTTCTTTAACCTACTTGTATGGAATGCATGATACTAACAGTCAACATAGGTTAGCTTATTAAATTGTGCATAATTACTACAAAACAGCTGTACTAACTTACAGTTCTTAGAGCACTCTTTGTTAATCATCAGGAGCTTCTCTTCCCAAGTAGAAAAATTACGAGTGTCTGGCCATGAGAGCACGTGAGGTTTTGTCCAGCTCCTCCTGTCTCCCTTTTGCAGAAAGTAATAACGTAAAATAATCAGTAAGCATTTAAATGTTTATTTCTGCATCATGCAGAGGAACTACTACCGCCCTAACGCCCACTTTCTTATAGAACTTCTCATGTGAACTACAAAGCACTTTTTCAGGTTTCTTTACCAAATCTTAAGAAGCTTAAAAGTTTAACTAGGTCCTGTAAACCAGTCAATGTTAAAAAATCCCACCCCTTGAACACACATCCAGCCACCAGGAAAATCCAACACACCTCTAAGTCACAGCCCAATCAAAGCCAGTTGGCTCCAATTTTATCAAACTAAATACCACGGTGCAGAATGTGTTGTGAGTCTTCCCTATCCTTGTGTAGCTGGTGCTTTAAGGAGCGTCAGTTAACTTAAATGTCACATGATTTTAAAATTTTTAAGTTACACTTATGAAATATTGCAACATCATTATTACCTCATTGGAAAGGCCTGTCGCCCAGCTGCACCCTTGACTAGATTGTTGGTCATGCAAAGCAGGAGAAATTGTATTTTAACAAAATTAAATAGCAACCTTGCCAAAACATACCCCCTATTACTTCTCAAATCAAGGAGTATTATATGGAGCCTGACACCTGACAGGCTTAAATGATTTGGCCATAAATCCTTTAAAATGCTTTTAAAGGCCTTCTGAGGAACAGTCTGCCCATAAGCTGTGCTCATTTTTCCTTTGATATGCACCAATTTAGTGCTATTACAGCTTAGATTCACAAACAGCCTTTTTTGTCCATAACAGTATCGACATGAACATCGATCCACACAATTAGCTAATCAGAGCATTGCCTCTTGCAAAGTATGGGAATAAATTTAGAAAAAAAAAAGGAGACAATAATTTTCACATAACAGTACATTTATTACAGCAAATTAACAGGAAGCCTGAACAAAATTACAGGTAAAGTGAAATTAAGTAGCTAAGTCGTAACCCCAGGAGGTACCACTGACCACAAGAACAACCTCCTCACCAATTTGGAAAGGTATAAAATCTTAAAGGAGTAAAAGGCAGGGAGGCTACTTAGTCTAACCTTTCTCCTGGCTAGAAGAGACTCTAAAAGTGCCTTATCAGGGTGGTGAGTATTCAGCCTAATAGCTGGTTAAATGTAAATTTTACATTCTATATATCCTGCTTGCAGAATCTCTTTGTGCCCAGGTAAAGATGCGGGTTCAAAAGAGAGGTACTAACCTCAGGCACTGTATAAAAGCAAACAAAAAAAATAAAGCAACCCACAGAAGACAGGCTTCATCAGCTGACAGTGAAGCTAAAACTTTTCAGTCGCTGTATATTTGATTTCCATGGGAACACATTCACTGTGTTTAAGGGAAGCGTTTGCTTTTGATTTTCTGAGATATTTCATGGAAGTTTGTGTCTCAGGCTGGCTGTAGAGAGCACGTGCCATCTAGCTTCTTCTCAACAGACCACAAACTGTTCCAAAATATTGTATCATCTTGTTCATTATGCATGTGGCATGTGCTTTTGATATCCTCAGCAAAATGGACTTTTATGTAAAACTGGCCTATGAGAAGTTGGTTCAGCACCGTAACTGCAGTGGGACAATCCCCTAAGGAACTTCTAGCTTAGTACTCTCAAACCACTCCATAAACAAAGAGACAGCTCAGAGACTGAATAGCTGCTTAACCACAACATCATTTAAACATCCTCGCACTCTTTCCTTCAGACACAGAAGCCAAACATCCCAGTGTACGCCACTTTGCTCGCTACACAAAGTATGGCCAGCACCTAACAACAATAGACAAATTTAATTTTTCAGCACTAGGAGCTAAATTGCACTGAAGAGAGGAAAATAAACCAAAAACGTGCTGAGAAGAAAGATATGAGGAGAAAATCAAAAAGTGTATTACAAGAAACTGGTATTTACTATGAACAGAACTGCCTAACATTATGCAACTACTTCAAATAAGCTGATTTACACCAAATCAAAGACATCATTTCTTCTCAATAGAATAAAGCCTTGAAAGAAGCAGCTGATCTGTTTTTATCATCTTCACCACACCTGTAAATGGAATAAGAGGACCCGTTATTTAGCTGAGTGGCTAAATAACGATAAATAAATTTGGATGTGAAATGTGCAGCATCTTGGTGATTTCTGTGAGAACTCTGCAAAGTCCCTGAGGATAAAGACATGATCTTTGGACTCGCCAACATGAGTATAATTTCACCTGGGTGGTCCTCCTAGGCAATGCCAGAGCTTGCGATATAGGCTGAGCACGGATAGTGGTGAGATGTGCTCAGTAGAGTCTCTCTACGTTTTTAGAGCATAGTATGCTCAATTAAGAATTTTTATTGAAATATAAAAGAGGTTATGATGTTATTACTTTCTCTGTTTAAAAATATTTACAGTATTTATTTTCCTAAGTTTCTAAAACCTGTCCATCAAAACTGATTTCTGGCAAATTCAAAATATCACACAAAAGCCTAATACAATGGTTTTTTCCTTCCAGCAAGTAAAATTTGAAAGAAATACACTTGTATTTGTTTTCAGACTATGTGTCTGACTAAGCTTTGTAGCCCTTTTAAAAATGAACAAGAAGACCTAAGTGGCTGGTAAAAAGTGCAGTGACCAAGGTTTTTGGTGAACGTAGAGCTAGAACAGGGAACAGGTTCCACAGCAGAAATTCCAGGATCCATTGGAGGAGGAAAACAAACAGAGAGGCCTGTGGCATTCTGCACTCTTCCCTTCACACAGCTGCAAGACTCCTTTGTATTTGAGACAATTTGGAATTTATTTAAAAGCTAATTGGTACTTATGCACCAGAAAAAATATCGTCAGCTCACAGAGGAAGGCTGAAAAAGGAAAAAAGCTGAAAAAGAAATACGTTTGGATTTAAGGTTCAGAAAGGTCCAGCTTTGACAAACAGTGGAAGTAAATCCCACCATCAACATTTGATTCCACTACACAGGTAATTGCTAGTAAGTGACCATCCTCAATTAAATATGCTTTGGGGTCCTTATTTGAAACAGGTCAGGATACTGGCCTACATAAGCAAACATTCATTTAAGAGAAAATCTTCAAAAGCACTTAATCAGCACAGTAATGCAAGGGCTTAATTAAGCTCTCAACTGCTAATGGATTCAGGGTGTCATTCATCCACAGTTATCTAAGTCTGGCTCGCTCCTTCCTTTGTGCTAGCACTAATAACCCTCAGAAAGGTCTGATGGTTTTTCTTTTTCCTCCCCTTTCCTTCTGGATCTGATACCCAGCTGGAGGAGCGAGCTGATCTGAAGGGCCACAGTGCTTCATGATCTCCACAGCTGGCACAGGAGAAGCGCTGCCCATTTTGGTAGCAACCCTATTAAATGAGCCTAAGCCAAAAAGCATTTTTTGCTAGTGGCTCAGCAACTTGCAGCTCTTGATACGAAATGCTCAAGCAGTGGCAAAGTTGTTTAAAACCAGGTATTTATTCTAATGGCTTCTTTCAGGACAATCCTTACCGCCATAATGTATAGTTGCATAGTAAAAATCCATCAAAACATCTCTTCTGGGTAAGGAAACAGGTTCTGCTAGGATATTCCTTCTTATAGATCGTCTGCACTTCAGAGCAAGAAAGGGACCGAAATCAATATCCTTGTCTAAATTCCTACATAATGTATGCCAAAGGGACTCAATCCAACTATTTCTGCATCAGGCTTTTGTTCCGGGCTACAGCTAGAGCCATAACAAACTCGCATGGCAGGATTTCAAACAGACCCTCTGCTCTCCCCTCTCGAGGGCAGCCAAGCTATTTGCAAACACTTTCACACATTCCCCTGCCTGTGAGAAATGTAGGCCACAGCTTACCACAAGCAGAATGTGTGAAAATGCTTTTTAAAAGCCCAGCTGCTGGCCTGCTTTTTCATAGACAAAGAGTTAAAGTGCTTTTAAATACTCCCTTGACTTCCACCCTGTAAACTCTCCTTTTCTGCAAAGGGAACTTTCCCCTTTCTGGGGTGAAAACATCCCATGGGCTGTCTCCCCTGCCCCAGCGTGTTGCTGCTCTGGCACCAATCTTCTACTAGCCTTGCTACGGCTCTGGCCAAACCATACTACTGGATAAAAACCCAAACCACCAATTAAACAAACGAACAAACACCCCCAACCGTGTCTGCCTTTAGATTCTCAATATTTCAATGTATTTTTAAATACCAAAGTTATCCATAATTATTTGATTCTTAAGTTCAAAAAGTTGGAAATTGAACGGAGTTATATTTGTTTTCAAATAAGTAGTCAATGCAAATGAATTCTGATTAGGTGAATTAACAATACTCTGCTACAGCAAAAGCAGAAATTCCTCAGAAATGGGGGATTTAAAATTAGCATGAAAGGTATGGAAGGCAAAAAAGAAGAAAACAAATTACAAACCACAGATAGAGAATATTTCCTTGAACAATACTCTGATTTTAATCCATGATTGTCACTCTACTGTTCAAAGGTTTCAAACAAGAATATCACTCAACGTGGAAAGTAAAATGAGAATTGATTTTAAATTTCAGGGCTGCCTACCTGGGTCTAAGATGCTGAAGGAGTTGAACCTTCTTTCTCATTTGATCCTGATTTTGCTCTACATTCTTTGCAAGTATGACGACAACGCCTACAATATAGAAAGCAGACAAAGTATTCAAGAATTTTGCTGGTTGTCTTCTAATACAACCATTTAGCACACCAGCAAATGCTCCTGAAGAAGTAATCTCTTGTCTGAGTTCTCCAGTTGTTGTAACTGCTTTACAGGACATAAACTGCAAAAGGTGACATCTATATGTCTCAACCAATAAAACCCAATTATTATTCTTAACTACCATTTACAGCAAACACCACAATATAACAGGATTTTCTAAGCAGGAAAAGACAATCCTTGCCATTGTACCTATCAATAATGAGCAAACAGAGTTAGGAGCAAAGCATATAATAGAAAAGAGTGGCAAACAGCCATTTTGTGTAACACCGTGTGAGGAAAGTAACAGCTTTTTTGGGGGGAAAAACGGATGTGGAAAGATGCATGAACAATGAGGAAGCTTCCCAATATGAGTCAGATATTTTCATAGGCATAAAAGCTCACATTGGTCTGGGGGAAAGACGTGGAAAGACAGAGGAGAATGATCTTGTGGGCAGGATTTTTGGAAGTGCACTTTGTGTGTGAAAGGTGCATATGAGAAGCCATACTGGGAAAGAAAACTAGTACTGGCAGTTGAAGGAGGAGCTGGAAAAGAAGACAGAATGTGATTTGACAGGAAAGAGCACTTTATATGAAGTTTAGAAAACAATGACTAAAACATGGAGGTGACAGGAGGCAACCATTGACATCTATCATATCGTTAGAGCTGCGAGGTGGAAAAAATGCCATTGCAATTTGTGATCTTCATGGTTTGGCATGACAGCATGATGTTGGGAAAAACTGCAGAAGAGGAGGTTGGAATGTGCAGTGAGATTGAAATTATTGTTAAAATATGATAGTGTAAAAAAATCTGCTGTGTATTTGGCCAGATGTATTGTACAAAGGAGAATTCAAAGGACTGAGTGATATAACAGAAGATCGTGAGACACTTAGAGGCACAATACTAGATGAAAAGAGAACTAGTAACTGTTGTTCCATCACACTTAAAAGTATGATAATTTCATTTAAACAATGGATTTCCTAATGACAGCTATTACTCTGAGTTTAATTTTCATTGCTGAAGAATATGTAGTAGTTTCCAGTACTGACATACATAGCCTAAGGATGCAAGAGTAGTACCTCATGACCTGATCCCAAAATTTAAATTCATAGTTTTGCCGTATATTATTTTTACTATTGTAAAGACTGTTTTGATCTAGCATTAATGATTTAAATGAGCACAAACCTTTTTTCTCGTGGACAAGATGGTACAACACCAATTTCCTGGAACTTTTTTTGGCATTCTCCAATGTACGACACCTTTCCAATGGCAAAACCTAAGACACCAGCAACTAAAGACAGATAACAAAAGATTGTTAATGCAAGAGCTTAAATCAAGGGTATCCAATTAGCTCCATTTGAATCATACAATGATTTGTATGTAGTGTGTCTTCTCAAAACAGGTTGCAAACACATCTGAAGTTATACAGGGACTACAGAGATGATTTCAGTAACTATTGAAAACGGGCTACCTATCACGAGACATGGCAACTGGTCCAAACCAATGCAGACAGGAAAAGGTTATCATATTCATCTGCAATTAATCTGAGGAGCAGATTATAGAGAAAGCCCAAAACGAAATTAAATCACAATCTCAGCACTAATTTATCCTGCCCTTTTACGCACACCATGGTATTTCTGATGATGGCAATTTTAACACTTATCTTCTCAGGACTTCTAAGAAGCTAGAACATCAGCCTTCCATACTCTCACACTGGGGCTTTCACTCATTACAGACTCAGAATAAAAACATTACTTCATCATCCTCAATTTTCTGTTGAACTTCTGCTGAAGAGGGAATCAACTTTATTTCTTGCCATTTAAGAGCAAACTTACTGTACTGTACTGTTTCTGTGCTTTTATTTGTTGTCTGTATCAACATGGTCATAAATGAGACAGTTAAGAAATCAAATGAACATATGAAAAGGAAAATCTGAAAAGGAGTATATATATTTTATATATACTGTGATGGCCCCTTGATACCATAAGTGGTGTGATCTGCTAAGCATGGCTGATCAATGAGGTTGACATTATTTATAGGTGAGACTGGACTTTTTACCAGTTTGAGAGAACATATTAAGTAAATAGAAGCTGCTACTGAAAATGTTTACATTAAAAAAAATGTTTGAAATAACATTTATTTTTAAACACAGCAGAATTCTGATTTCCTAAAGCACTGCAGCAGTATCTCGTAAATTCCCAAAAAGGAAGAGTTTGAAAGGAGATTCTGAGACATGCATCTAAGGTCTGCAAATTACCTTTCTCTTCCTTTTAGAATTGGGTACAACTTACTTGCCATCTTAGGTAATGCACCGAATCTTGGGTTTGCTGAGAAAATGCCTACAATAAAAGGAAACAGTCAGAATACTTACTCATTTGAGGAACTCATCATCACTCAAAACTAAAGACAGGTTTTCTTTCCTACAAGCTTTTGCATTTCTGAAGGTGAAGACTGTACAAAAAATTTGTAAGTCCACTAACTCAGATTTAGGAACATCAGGGCACTTTCCATTCCACTAGTTCTTAGTGCATCCATTTTGGTGCAGTCACAGAATCACAGAATCACAGAATTGTAGGGGTTGGAAGGGACCTCAGAGATCATCGAGTCCAACCACAAAAAAAAAACAAAACAAAACAAAACAAAACAAAAAAAAAAAAACAAAAAACAACACCAGCTCCCACCACCTAAACACACAACAACCTCCAACCAAAAAACCATCCCCCACCCACACAGCACCCCACCACAAACCAGTAATCTTGGGCACTAGAGCATGCCCTGAAGAACCATGTCTACACGTTTCTTAAATCCCTCCAGGGATGGTGACTCCCCCACCTCCCTGGGCAGCCCATTCCAATGCTGGATAACCCTTTCAGTAAAGAAATGTTTCCTAATATCCAACCTGAACTTCCCCTGGCGCAACTTGAAGCCGTTACCCCTTGTCCTATCATCTGTAACTTGGGAGAAGAGACCGCCCCCCGTCTCTCTACAGCCTCCTTTCAGGTACTTGTACAGAGCGATAAGGGCTCCCCTCAGTCTCCTCTTCCCCAGACTGAACAACCCCAGTTCCCTCAGCCTCTCCTCGTAAGACTTGTGCTCCAGACCCCTCACCAGCTTCGTTGCCCTTCTCTGGACCCGCTCCAGCACCTCAATGTCCCTCTTGTGGTAGGGGGCCCAAAATTGGACACAGTACTCGAGGTGGGGCCTCACCAGTGCCGAGTACAGGGGGACGATCACCTCTCGGGCTCTACTCGCCACACTGTTCTTGATACAGGCCAGGATGCTGTTGGCCTTCTTGGCCACCTGGGCACACTGCTGGCTCATGTTCAGCCGACAGTCGACCAACACCCCCAGGTCCTTTTCTGCCAGGCAGCTCTCCAGCCACTCTGCCCCCAGCCTGTAGCGCTGCAGGGGGTTGTTGTGACCGAAGTGCAGGACCCGGCACTTGGCCTTGTTAAACCTCATCCCGTTGGTCTCGGCCCATCGATCCAGCCTGTCCAGATCTCTCTGCAGAGCCTCTCTACCCTCCAGCAGATCAACACTGCCACCCAGCTTGGTGTCGTCTGCGAACTTACTGAGGGTGCACTCGATCCCCTCGTCCAGATCATTGATAAAGATGTTAAAGAGAAGTGGCCCCAGTACTGAGCCCTGTGGGACACCACTCGTGACTCATAGAGAGAAAAAAATACAGACTTTGCAGGATTCAGTTCAGGCAGAGGTTCAGAGAGTAAATCAACATGAAAGCAGTGTGGCTACCACTGATGACACCTGCAACACTGCAGGAGGAGGAGATGGTGGCCTATGTTCCAGCACAAACCAACCTTGTGAATATAATAGCAAATAGAAAACTCCTACTCAGGGTTCAGCTTCTTGTGCTGCAAGAAACACGCCTGAACAGTTCTTCAGTGGTTTTCTGTGGCTATCAGTTGAACTCATGTTAAAGTGTACCACAGATACCTATCCTCCTCCTCTGGAGAGAAGAGATCATATTTTTTGGCCTTTATGAGGAGGATACAGTGTGCAGAACATGAAAACTGAAAGATTAGCTCTTCTGACCAAAATCCACCTCCCTCCAGTTAACACCAGGAGGTGGACCTGCGTCCAGCTCTGGAGTCCTCAGCACAGGAAGGACATGGACCTATTGGAGCAGGTCAAGAGAAGGACCACAAAGATGATCAGAGAGCTGCAGCACTTCTCCTATGAAGAAAGGCTAAGAGAATTGGGGTTGTTCAGAGAAGAGAAGGCTCTGGGGGCACCTTGTAGCCCCTTCCAATACCTAAAGGGGCCTACAGGAGAGATGGGGAGGGACTCTTTTATCAGGGGGTGTAGTGATAGGAAGAGGGGTAATGGTTTTAAATTGAAAGAGGGGAGATTTAGATTAGATATTAGGAACAAATTTTTTACTGTGAGGGCAGTGAGACACTGGAACAGGTTGTCCAGAGAAGCTGTGGAGGCCCCATCCCTGGAGGTGTTCAAGGCCAGGCTGGATGTGGCCTTTAGCAACCAGGTCTAGTGGGAGGTGTCCCTGCCCAGGGCAGGGGGTTGGAACTCAATGATCTTTAAGCTCCCAGCCAACCCAAACCATTCTATGATTCTATGATTATAGCTCTGCAAGCGTGTGTCTGGCAGAGGGGTGCCATACTGTGGAGGAGGGCTGCACACAGCAAGAATGCCATGGCAAAGGGAAGGGAAGCTAACACTGTCTGCACTGTTCCATGCATTCAAACAGTATTAAAGAGGCTCAGAAGCTCCACCTTCTTCTAGAGCCACTGTACTGCCTGCGGTCATCAGGGAGGAGTGTTTAGACAGAGGAGCATTCAGTCTATGCTAAGTGCAAGGGCCTTCGCCCACTGGCATCTGTGCAATTTTAAATTGGGTCTTTCAGGGGAGGGAGGAACAAAATTGCTTTTTGTTTCTAAACAGCCCCCCTCTTCCAATTGCTGACACACAGAAATGATTATTTAATATGGTCACTTGTTATTTCATAGCTGATAAGAAGTGTCAAAGTACAACGGAGAGAAACTGAGAAGAGTACCCGTTGGCAGAGGGTGGCATATTAGCCACTGAGACCAGCCCAGTGCCCTTCCTATCACTCCTCACCCTTTTCAAATCTGTAAACCTTTGCCTTCCCTCTCACACATTTTCCTTTGCTTCTTGCCTCCCCATCTGCCTGCAATCTCACAGGTCAAGAATGCAACAGGGAACTTACATCAGCCTCTTGTGATATAACACAGCTTTCAGGTTTTCTACCCTAGTCCTCCTGACCATCTTACTAAAAAAAAAAAAAAAAAAAGAATTTGATGAGGAAGAAACACAGTAATAGTGGCTGGAACAAAACAAGGGGCTTGCAACCACACACTGTTGAGAAAAGGCTCAGCCATTTCCACCTCCTCCATTTGCTGTCTCCCACCACCCGTCCCTTATAGCCCCTGAATTCTTTTCTGTTTCTTGCTTCAGGCCCTGTGATTTTTCTCCTACCTGCCCTTGCTGTAAATGGCTGCTGAGGCAGGCTGAAGGACTCTCTTATTTGCTCTTGTGGGATACACCCATCTTCACAGTCTTCAGGGTGGACGCTCTTCACTATTTACCCAAAATGCTAACCTCAACCTTATTATTAGTCAAGACTCCCAGAAGGAAAACTACATACTGCACACTCCAATGTGTAGAACCAGGCTCACCAACCACATAAGCAGAACACAATTCTCTTCTGTGTTTGCCTGCAGATTGCAAGACATCTCTATAAAAAGCTCTCCGTCTCCTCACTCTGGCAGTATTCCTTGTCCCTTTGCACCAAAGCTGCATTCATATTGATATGTGGTCAGTGTAACAACACTGCCAGCGTTTCTCAAAGAAACCAGCAGTTAGAGCTACAGTACCCGATCCTGATGCCCCTGCTCAGGTTGTACGATACTCTGCCCCACATCCAGTCCCAGTGAAGAAGACTCTACTCAAATACATGTGACCACGGTGACAGAATCTAGCCACCAGACTTTGAATTCATAAATTCTCTTTTCAGTTCATGTTCTTTCAAAAGAATGACTGTGGCAATGCATACATAATGATCAAATCACTAACAATGATGGTGATGAGTGAGAGGAATATTGACCTTGAAAACCAGCAGGCTTCAGGGAAACTTGCATTTCAGTATTAATTCCAGAGTCTGAACTTCATAACTTAGGACCATAATGCATTTTTTATATTTACCTTTTGAGACCAGCCCCTGGGTGAGAAGCATGCTCCCAAGAGACAAAGGAAGAGCTGTAAAAACAAAAAGGAGTATATTTGGTATCACCCCAAATTACTATTTATATGTTAAATGTTTTATACGTTAAATATTTCATATATTTAGAATGTTACACACATTACTTATCTTCTAAACATTAACTTTGCGTACTGCTTTAATCACCTATTACATCTGCTCATTCAGATTACTGTTTCTTCAAAGCAAGGATGTGTTCATACAGTGCCAGACATCAGGCATGCTGTAACATCTGGAGCTAATGCATTGTATATATATTTATTAAACAATACCTTCCATAATCTGAATATCTCCTCTAAGTACTGCAATGCTAGTCATGACAGCAGCTCTGATTAAAAGCTGGAACCCTTTTCAGTCTTGATGTATAATATAGATACAAACTGACCTACTTAAAAGGCACTAAAACACTAACTAATCTTTTAGAAGTTCTAAAAGATTTCCCAAGAAATTCTAAAGAATTCACAAACCCAAGAAACATAGCCATGCCTGACTTTCATTCAAAAGCAAGAATAAGTATGCAATAAAGTAAAACATTCCTCGGGTTGTTTTAATAATGGGCTTCAAGAATGGAACCAACTCTATGACTGTTAAAGTACGTTCATATTAAACAAGAGCTTAATTCAACCAGCTTTACCTACAATGATTACACAAATAATTCAGTTAACCTTATAGTAACATATTGCTCACCTTAATATAAGGTGACAGGGTTAACTCACAATAATATTCCAACAAAACCCAATGTATTATAACCAAGGGTATGGTATTTTGCAACCAGTTTTGCATAAATACATCACGAAGTCATTCTCAGTGTGATAAGAACAAGTTTGGATCACTCACCTCTGTACCAGAAACTTTCCTTTCTGCATTTTTTACGGATCCTTGCAATTTCTTCAGCATTGTGAGTTTGTGACTTGGGACAATAGAACATTGTCTGAAAGGATAAACCTGGGTTAGCTTATTGAATTTGATCTCATGGGAAGAAAAAAGAAAATCAATTAAAGAAGACAAATTATTTAAAAACAAATAAAATACAATGTAAAAACCAATCAAACAAGCAAAACTCCCTGTTCTGTTGCTAGCAGTCTGATGAAATACTTGACACCATAGTACAGAAACGGAAAGAACTACATAGGTTTTAAAGTTAAAACCACTCATCCGGTTGGTCTATACTTTACTAAAATAGCTCAGCTGCTGCTTACCCCAGAAATATATTGCGTTATTTCTGTTAGACATTTCATTCTTAAGAACTACATCAGCTTTCTGGGGAAAAAATTACAGGAAATACAGACTGCTAGTTTCTAAAAATTAAATTCTGCCCCATACAGAAGTCAATTTAAGTTCAGTAACAGTAAATTTTGCAAGTATTCAGAAAAGGGTCAACATGAACGCTGTCAGATTCCCCTAATTAGCCGAACTTTGTATCTGAGCAGTTTAAACATATTCACGGCATTAACTGAACTCAGCCATACCAGCTTCACCTTCTTAATAATTAGCTCCTTTTAGGCTGATGGTAGCTCCTTTTTTTTTTTTCCATTTTGATTGTGAGAAAAGAATGATAGTATTCTCTCCTGCATTCTACTATCCAGGGCATTGACATGTGGATATAAATAGATTTTTTTTTCTTTCTTTAAGAGATTACTTGGTTATCAGCGTTAGCATTTGTGGTATCATAATTGGACACCTAAAATATACGGGTGTACTGGTTTTGGCTGGGAAAGAGTTTATTTTCTTGATAGTAGCTGGTATGGTGCTGTGTTTTGGATTTGTCACCAAACCAGTGTTGATAACCAGGGCTGTTTCACTGCTGAGCAGTGCTTGCACAGCATCAAGGCCTTTTCTGTTTCTCAGGCTGCCCTGCCAGCGAGTAGGCTGGGGGTGGATGAGAAGTTGGGAGGGGACACGGCTGGGACTGCTGACCCCAACTGACCCAAAGGATATCCCATACCATATGATGTCACGCTCAGCAATAGCAACTGGGGAAAAGAACGAGTTGTCAAGTTGAAATTTTAACATTTTCTTGTAAAACCACAACCTATACAAACATTCTTGAAAGCACCCAGACTTTGTAGACCAAGCAGCACCTTGGGAAAAAGAGCACATTAGTCTATTACAGGATTCTACCTCATTTTATGCCTGACTGATCCATGATTTTGTAATCATAATAATGAAATGCATTTATTGGCTGCAGCCACATATTTCACCTTTTAGCTAAATAACATCTTCATCCTTCTTCAAGCACTGCTCCCAGCAAAGTTAATGGTGGTGCTGCTTGGGAAATGGTAGAGAACTAACTCCACTCCAGGCTCTAGAGAACCACACCAAACTGGTTTCACAGCAAGGTCACAGCAAACACAATAAAACCCAAACAGGCTGAGTGAAAGATAAGGAAACGAGTGTCAGGGCCTTAAGTGCACCAACAGGCTTTGCAACCTTTCTGTCCCCATACATACCCTGCCAGGGGTTTGGTTGCTTGGGCTCAAAGTCAGCTCTAACAGGGCACAATTTTGTAATACCAAATTAGACTGAAGCTGGGAGAAAGAGCTGCAAGAAGCTTTTCTCAGGAGCTGCATTTAAGCTCTGGCCCTCACCTGTTGTAGGTATGCCTGTGGCTGGCCTTTTACAATGATGATCCCTATGTTGCCTTGCTAACTTGATGTCCTGGCTTACCACTAAATTTGTCGTATTCCTACGGACTTGCCTGGCAATCACTGGACCAACTGTTGGCTGACCTCAGTTAACATTACTGGATCTTGCTCTGCTCCTGTTTTTTGGGATACTCTGGTACTGTGCTCCTTGTCCCTGACGTCACAACCCCTGCCTGACTGGCTGTAACTCATGGCTCCTGGGTCATCTTCCCTTGCAGATCAGCCCACTTTTGCTGCTCTCTGGCAGTGACTGGTTAGAAACAAGGTCATAGCTCATTTAAACTCTTTGTGGTTACGTATTTATAGCATAAAGTGGTAAAACTGGAAGCCCTGTAGGTAGCCGATTTTTCCAGCAGAGGGGAACGCTAATCTTCCTGGAGGGCAGGTTCTTGTGCAGTACTGTTCCCTTCTATCCTTCTGAATACACACACGCACAACTCAATGGGCACAGGTTATACTGGACTAGCACTCAGACACTACAGCTCTGACAGTTCGTAACTAGTTTAACTAGCACAGCATTAATCAATGCCCATTATCTCAAGACTCAAAAGCTCCTAGCCATCTGAGTGTAGGGAATCAGGAAGAAAAACACAAAGCCCTTTCTCCTCTTCATTTATGTACTTAAGCTAACAGACATCTGTTTCTCTTTTCAATGAGAGTGACCAATGCAAAATCCCTGTCATTCACTAGCAATAGCATCAAAATAAAAAGTAGGAAACCCAGCTTACCCATCCAGTTTGCTTTGGTGGAGATGTCTGACTTTCCTGTTGGGTTGTTTCAGAAGACATTGTCTCTCTCTGTGTACTCTGCTGCTGCTCCTGGTCAGCAGATACCGTGTGCTTCATGCTTGGTTCCCTCTCTTTCTCCTAGGTACAAAGGTAAACAGCCAAAGTATATTGATAATGCAAGTCCACTGTTCACTCAAACCCATTAATGACTGGGTTGAAAGGAGTATATTTTTTTACAGCAAATAGCGTCCAGCCGATTATATACAGCTTACAGGGCAGTGTATCACTTAGTAGCAGTAGAGTTGTGTGCAGCCTAATTCAAACAGGGAAGTTGTGAAGTACAATTAGATGCTGGACCATGACCTAGCACAGCACTCTGAATCAGAAAGAAATGAGAGCAAATATGAGCAAGTCATCCAAAACCATTTTAATTTGTATTGTATTGCAGGCAAAAAATTAACTTCTTCAGTGTGCTGTCCGGATTCACTGTACTCTTCTGTCCTTATTGTCAGGATCTGAAGTCTTGATTCCCCAGGACTCACAATGCAAGCCTATCACAAACCACACCTGCATTTCCAACACACACAGTCCAGTTACAAACACGCTTAAAAAACAACCCCAAAAACAAAACTAAGATGAATAAATAGATTCCAAAGAGTTTTAGAGTTGTAGTCTTCCATGCCTGAGAATTGAAATCTATTTCTGGACTAATTCAAACATTTAAACTGTGATTTTTACCTAGCACTTCGCTGCATGGCTGGCACTTTATTTATCAACATCCAGAGCACTGCTGCTTTTCTAATGGTGCCTCCTGAGAACGGTGGCACTGAGCAAGGCTAAAGCAACTGAAAAGGACAGAGTTAAACAAAGAAACATATGCAACAATTTAATAACCTGAATGGTATTTGGCATTCATAAACCACTTCCTGCACTTATTTTGGGGTCAGTTACACAGCCATAAAGTTGAAACAATGTCTGCTTCACGCATGTTGGATATTCAGACAGCAATGCTTTTTTAAGTGATGGAACAGAAGCAACATGACCTCCTCTCCCCTTAGTAAAAAGACTCAATTAAGCATTGCATTCACAAAAATCTGCACTTTATTCTCAGTCACTCTCAAAAATGACAACGACCACTGTGTCTCTGAAAAAGTTTAAGTCTGAAAGTGCACATAATGCTGGGAGAGCCCACAGCTCCTTATTGTCTGCCTCACCCTGACTAACTAAAAGCAATTTAATTTTCCATCAGCCTCTCGTCACCGAATGCAAAAATGGAGATAAAAGATGAGAAAAATGCATAAAACTTTAAAGAGGTTTACGTCAATCAAAGACACAAAATTTATTCTTATTTGCTTGCTTATTCTTATCTGCCTACCTGTGCAGATGACTGCATAAAAAGCATCACTATGGACTGATATGGTTTCTAACTGCTGCAACAGATTTTAACCGCTCATCTTTTTCATGAGGATAAGAAAGTTGAGTCACTGGAGAAAATAAATAACATGAAAAAAAAATTTAAAGGAGTATAAGTTAGGTTATATAAATTTGCAGCTTGCCATTAAGCTCCTGTATTGTTTTCAGCTTACATTTCTCCAGTTATTCAGCTGCACTTCCACTTCAACATAACAAAGAATCCCAAAAATACGTAGTCCTTCAAGCAGCTTCCTGGGACCTCTCCCACTTGGGATGAAAGCTGAAAGCTATACCGGTGACAACGAAGCAAAGGGACAGAGTCAAGGTCATCAAAATATTGTTTAATTTAATTATTAATATGATTACGTAGCACACATGCTGCCTCCTATCTGAGGAATGTAAAAGTGTTCCAGTGTTTGGGGCATCATGTTTTGGAAAAACAACTGTCATCCCAAAAAAACCCTTTATTTGCATTGACCTACTGAAGAAACATAACATTCAAGCATATTTTTACTCTAATGCTTATTGCTGTTTTCTCAACCTAACTATGTAATTGTTAGTGTAACAATTAATTGTATCTTCTCTTAGCTGCCTTGGGAAGAATTCCCCAACAATGTTATTCTTCTGTTTAACTGAAATACTTATATAACGCTTGATTAAATTGATGTAGTTTGCAAGGACCAAATTTAAAAAAAAACCTTGTTCCTACTCTACAAGAACTGTTCTGCGTCATTTACTCATTTACAGAAGAAACAGCTAATATTAGACTCCTTAAAGATCTCATGGTTTTGATTCTTCTAACTGGTTTGATAAAGCAGCAGTATGGAAGAAGATAGCTACGTTTTTTCGGATATGAGAATTGCCAACTCTATGTACTCTGTTTTCACTAAGAAGCCTCCTTCCAAGCAGGGATGGTGACCACATAATTTCTAAGATTACTTGAGGGAAAAGGCGAGAGCCAAAATTTCATGTGTTAACCAGTATATACAGTTGACCAAGATCTACCAGTGCCCAAGGCCAGTGTCACTGAAGTACAATGATCACTGAGACAATTCGTTAGAACTCAGAGAGGCCGTGTAAGGACTAAGTGTCTGTTGAGGAAAAGGGGAAGAGTCACTATGATGTTTGACATGTGGCTTCTGAGCTGGCACTTTATTTTAAATCCTGGCTCTTATTTTGAAGAAGAGTCAACAGAGCAGCTGCACTACGTCTTGGATGAAAAGCTCCCTACCAACAACTGGGTGGACACCACGAAGAGGATGAGTGCCTCGCTCTTGCCTGGCTGTGGCCCTGCAGCACCTGCTCAGCTTTCTGCTGAGGGTCACTCACCCGGAGCTCAGCACGCCCAGCGAGAACAAGCTATTACTTTCATAGAATCATAGAATCATAGAATTGCCCAGGCCGGAAGGGACTTCCAAAGGTCATCTAGTTCGACCTCCCCGCAGTCAGCAGGGACACCCCCAACTAGACCAGGTTGCCCAGGGCCTCATCGAGCCTCACCTTGAATATCTCCAGGGAAGGGGCCTCAACCACCTCCCTGGGCAACCTGTTCCAGTGCTCCACCGCCCTCACAGTGAAGAACCCTCTCCTAATCTCCAATCTAAATCTGTTCCCCTCCAGCTTGAAGCCATTGCCCCTTGTCCTGTCACTGCAGGCCTTTCTAAACAGGTTCTCCCCAGCCTTCCTGTAGGCTCCCTTCAGGTACTGGAAGGCTGCTATTAGGTCTCCCCGGAGTCTCCTCTTCTCCAGGCTGAACAACCCCAGCTCCCTCAGCCCTTTGCGCTAGGTGCTTGCTCCAAGGGCAAAGGATGTGGCTGGGGACGTGCGAAACGCCGGGAGTTTCCTGGGAAGGAAGAGTGATTGCAATCAGGCCCTGGGCAGGCGTCCACTCCAGCCAACTCCAGCCGGCTCCGCTGACCCGGCCACCGGGCCTGCTACACCCAGCCACGGCCCCGGGCGAAGGGGAAGGGGAGAGGGCGAGGTGCCGGGCGCTGGGGGGAGACTCTCCTGATGAACCGCCGCCTGCCCCCCGCCCCGGGCCGGCCGCCGAGAGCCACGCCACCCCCGGCTTTCCTCCCGCCGTGACGCCGGAGAAATCCGGCCCCCCGGAGCTCAGCCCCTCCGGGGCGCCGGGCCAGCGGCGGAAGGGGAAGGGGGCGGCCCGGTCGGTCCCGGCAGCCGGTGATGAGCGGGGGCCGGGCGGGCACCGAGCAGCCCTCGGGGCTGAGGCCCCCGCTGGGCTCCGCCGCCACCTCCCGGTCACCGGCGGCAGGGACAGGGACAGCCGGGACTCCGTTTTAATATCGGTATCAACCACAAGTAAATAAAAAAACCCACTTTCATCAGTCAAAAATTATATAAAAAGTTATCCCGGAAATGTGAGTTCCGGGAAAGAGGGTTGTTCCTCCAGGAATGCTGGAAAAATAACTCCGCTTTCTCTGAAATGACAAACGCAATGCCTTTCTCTAATGATAAGCTTCATGAAACAAAGCACGTAAACCCGAGTTTTATTTTGCGTTTTATCATTCATAGAAGATAAACTTTCAAAGTCTTTGGGGCTTTTTTTGGTTAGTTGGTTTTGGTGCTTTTTTAAAAATATTTTTTTAATTTTTTTACAGCGAGACATAGTTTTTCGTAGAGCATCCTAACTGGTGAGACAACACTTCCTTGCTTATCATGAAACAAACAGCTTGCAAGATCACCATTATCCTTCCTTCTTTTGCATGACCTCGGCATCTCAATTTCATAATCGATATTACGTAAATCATAATTCATTTTCTTAAGCCCAAAAAGGCTTCCAGAAGTCTTGGCTGCTTGAAGCCCCTTTCCCTGGAGTATTCTCTCACTCTTACCAGCCAAACCAGACCGCTGGGCTTTACTGCTGCAAAACGTGCTCTGCACATACAGGTTTGGTGAGAGCGATGTCCTAAAACAGCTCTGGAAAGTGTACCTACATCTCCTGTCATCTAAAATTTCTTCTTGAAATTACACGTAAAGAAAGACTTACCAGATACTGGCCACACGCTATTCTGAAAACTACAATATACAAGAAAATCCCACGTGAAGCAAGTCCCCAACAACCAGTTATTTCTCAGCTGGTTCAGTCTGAACTGGTCATAAAGTGAAAAAGCACTGGAACCACCATTTCCTCGTGGGGCATACGCAGGGTGGGTGGTTGCTTGGATTCTTGCACCTTCCTGTGCAAAAGTGCCTATTAAAAATCAGGTTATGCTTCTTTTTCAGTTTAACTTTAAAGTTGGTTATCACAATTGAGTATGTTCCTCAAACACTCTTTGTTCTTAAGATTTACCCGAAAGTACTTCAGAGCTATGAAAATAGAGAGAAGCTGATAGAAAGAAATCAATAAATTTTAGTGCTTCGGAATAATAAACACAAATCAAAAGAGATCCTTACCCCTCCCAGAACAAAACCAACCCCACAGATCAAAGGAAAAAACAAGAGATACCAAAAATAAATAAAAAAACCCCACAATATGGAACTGAATCCTCAGCTGAGGAGTTTTCAACTGTTAGAGTTGAAAGAGATCGAGGAGCTGAGATTTCCCAAACTCAGGGTAGGTTTACAGGCTCTGGCTGCTTGTCTGAAGAACCTTCTAGAAAACACTGCAGGGTTGCCAGGATCCTGAGGTTCACCACATCCACCAAAGGCAAAGCCTTTCCAGTGTGTGTGTCTAACAGAAACCCACAGCAGGAGGAGGAACACGGTTTGTTTGTTCCCTGAAACAAAGACCTGGAGTAACAGACGCACAGTGCGGTTACAAAAATGTATCAGTCATGAAAACATTTAGAGCATGGAAAACCGCATAGGAATTACACTGTAGGGCATTGTTCTCATGCTAATGGGAGTGGGAGGTGAGGGTGAATGAAAAGACATCAAAAGTCACAGCAGGAAACAGTCAACATACTTCTGAGTAAAATATTAAACTGTCCTCACTATGTACCAGAAATCATGTAATAGTATTTTATGTCCTGGCTGATTCTTGGAGGCACTTATTTCTATTCTACACTTGTTCTGGCCTATCTTGTAGTAGAAACGAATGGCTGACAATTATCAGATATTCAAGCTTTAGGATTTTAATTTCTCAGCATGAAGAAGGCTGTAAAACAGCCACAGAGTCTTCTCTTCTCTTAGGATGCACAGCTATATGTGTAATTCCTTTCCTCCAGTAAAGACCTGCAACAGTAGCTGATTTCAACAGGGTTATAGGTGCTTAGATCCTGTAATCAGACTTAATGGTACCTGCCATTTCTAATACATATCGAAATTAATCAAGACCCATTATACAGAGTTACATTACTGGAATTATTCTGGGGCAATGTTTGTGTATCATGTCCCACAGAACATTTTACTGAAAAAGGTCGTTAGCAAGTCTCAATATTTATTAGTCCTGTGTTTTAGGGCTAATTTACAAGAGATGAGGCTACACTTCCGCTCTGGTGTAAGAAATTAACAGTATTTTGTAGTCAACATACAGTAACCTTGAGAAAACGACAACCAAATTAACGTTGACTATGAATATGCATATAGAGTTTTGCATAACAGATGTAAAGGTAATGATTAAGAAGCTTTACACTGTTGTGCAAACTGCGAGTCTTTGTGTTTCCACTGCGACTGTCGCTGGTGCCCAACTGTAAACTCCAACCCCAGCTTTTTTCCAGAGTTGCTTTCTTAATGCTAATTTGTGTTTGCACTTTTATGCTTTTTTCCTCTATTTCTCTGGCCCTTTCTCCTCTCTTTAGTCATCTCTACATCTCTACTGGGCAATATGCAAGGATAACTTCTCCCAGGGGTCTGACAGTTCTTTTAAATTCCATGTGTTTATTTTGAGCTTCAAAACACGCTTGTATTATAGTTTTAACCTAAATAAAGCATTGCTTTTTACAATCACTAGCTTTAGAGAGGTTTACCCCTCTTGATACCAATACAATTATGGGGCTGTAATTTATTTTCTGTTAAATTCAGATAATTTGTTTTGTCTGCCTTACATAAAGGGTATAATAAATACTATCCTAAATTGAAGATGTTCCTTTTTCTGTGAGTGGAAACTCCTACTGTAGTATGCTATCTTGGTTTTGCTGGTTTGCCACCACTGTATTCCTGTATAGATCAAATGCTATGGCTTTATTTTTTATCAGCTACACATGCAGCACTCCAAGAATAAAAAAATTATAGTGAAAGGCATTCCTACACATATATGTGTAATGAAGCACCTTGTAAGCATTGACTTTGGTTTTTAAGACATGTCTGTTTTAATTTCAAAACAATATATCTCAAAGCTCCCTTCTCATGCTCAGATGCTTATCTGTTTGTCAACTCTATGGAGAGAACTGGAATGCAACTTTGCTAAATTTTAAGCCAAACTGAGTAGTTACTAAGAGTCTCAGAGAGAGTACTCAGAATACAGTGGCTAAATTTGTCAGGAATTGCATTATTTTCATTGCATTATGAGTTTAATGGAAGCCACACAAGCACATCAGGTTCGTGATTCCAGTTGTGTCTAGTTTTACCGGAACTCCATGTAACCATGAAGCAAGATACTGTAATTAGAAAAAGTATTGCAAAATTCTTTCAAATATTTATTGGCTGAATACATCCTGTGAGTGTCACACTCTTGCTACGCATCTACAAAAGCAGCCGTGTTCTGGGTTTGCTCTGGCCAAGGATCTCATCTTACAAGTTCCATTTGCGTCATGCCACAGCACGATGAAATGGTGTCATGACTTGCATAATCCTAAACCAGCGATAAGTGAACTTGGCGACTATTCTGGGGTGACTTTTCTTAAATGAAGAAAATACAAGATGCCTTTAGCTACATGGAACTTGGGAGAAGTGAAAAAAGAAAGAAGGTCATTAGACCTACAAGTCTCATTCTTCCTTCCCTGGCGAGGTCGACTTTTTCATCAAAATGTTTCAGTTTTTTTGCGGACATTTGAAACATATGTATGTTTTCAAATACCAACCAAAATTCAACAGGGTTTCTGTAGCTAGCCAAACACCATGATACGGCAGGGTAAATTAACTTCTTGATTGTGAGACTACTGAAACAAATTTTTCCTTAGTACTATGCCCCCCCAAATTTTTTGACATGAATTTATTGCTAGTAATATGTCATATTTAACATGTGTCAGGGGTTTATAGTTTACTCCTATGGATTTGGAGTTTCACAAGCGCAAGGGAAAGAAAATGCACATCAGGAGGTTTGTTTAGAACGGGACAGCAGTTTTAACACAAATGAGAAAATATAGCTGGCAGTTTCATAGGGTACTGTATGAAGACAAATTAAACTTAAGAAGATGATGCAAAGAAGAAGATGCAAAAGGGCTTTTTAGTTCTTAGTTCATAGTTCAAAATTTACTTTTCATGCCGAAAATGAAATTCTAAAATTCAGATTTTGCTTATGTAATCCTTTTGGCAGAACTTGGCAGCTGTGATCATGGCTGGGTTCACACAGCTCAGGGTTTCTTCTTAAATTAACAGACGGAGTGGTTTAAGCCTCAACCCAGGAATCTTAGCAAACTAAATGCTTCTTTTGGTGCTTTCTGCAGACAGGATTGCTTATCAGAAGTCCTTAGCACATTTCATTACGAAGAGCACAATCTGAACCCGCTTCCGGCCCTCAATCTCCCTCCTCCAGTCGTGTACCCCCCCCCAAAAGACAGCTAGTAAGCTAGTAACAGTTAATCGACCATGTATTTACACAACTAGCAAGTGACCCAGCTCCTCTTTTCCCCATCAGCCTGTCTGATGACAGCCCTGAAGTAGATTCTGTTTTGTTACATGCTGGTGTGACCATCCAGTGGACAAAAGCTCCTTTGGTAACACAGCAGTGAAGGGACAAGATGCACTCACCGTTCCTCGTCAGCTGTGAAGAATAAACTCCGGGCACCCAGGCTGACCTCGCTGAAGAAACGCCTTCTTTAACGAACACCTCTTCACAGTCACCTCATACCCGCACCATCCCCTCTAGCTGCGGTGCCATCTCCATGAGGGCTTTGTCACCACGAGCACCCCGGTGACGGCACGGCCACTGGGTCTGTGGGGCTTCTGCCTGCTCGGCAGCCGCTCTGCAGGCTCGGACGGGGGGGTCACTCCTCTCCCTCACCAGCCAGGCCGCTGGGATACAAAGGAAACTCAGCCCTCAGGAGTGGGAGGCCCAAGGGAGCCGCCATTTCTGTCAGCGATGGCGCGAGGGCCGAGACCGGTGGGCTAAAGAGCGGAACCATTACTGTCCCCGAGCCCTATTTAATCAGGCCACCACTCCTATCTGGCAGTTTTCCCCCTTACTCCTGCTCGCCGCTGCTCGGCCCCCGGTTTCATCGCCCTTCTCCCGGGGAGGCGGCTTCCCCCCCTCCCCGCCGCTCCCTCACGGCCGGGTCGCTGCGCTCGGAGACCCCCACGCTCCGCCAGGCGGCGCTGTGGCTCCCGCTCGCCGACGGCCGCGTGCCGGGCGGGCTCCGTGAGGCGGGACGGGCGGCGGCACCGCGCCCCGCCCGCCACTCACCCACCCACCGCTCGGTTGCGGGGCGAGAGGGGCGAAGCCCCCGCCGAGCCCAGCCGGGCAGCGTGACGGGGCGATGTTTCCCCTGTGGAAAGCCGTTCTCTCCGAGAGCCTCTTGGGTAGGTGGCGGCGGCCGTGCCGAACGACGGGGCTGGGGGGCTGTGAGGGGCCGCGGCGGGGTCGGGTCGGGCGGCGGTTAACGGGAGCGGGCGACGGTTAACGGCGGCGAGCGGCCTCCCTCTGCCCCCCCTTGGGAGCCCTGCGGCGGGGCAGCGCTGGGGGCTCTCCCGGCAGCCCGTGCCGTTGTGGAACTTGGATTCTGTGAGGAGATGTTGCCTTTCACAGGTGCTTCAAATAGGCTCCTCCACTGGCAGCGAGTAAATAGTGGTCGCTGCTGAGTGTTCTTCTTTGGGGTCTTTTTGTTTGTTTGTTTGTTTCTTTTCCCCTTTTTTCCTTCTAGTGCCTTTTGTCTTGTTGGATTTGTTGCCTGCCGTGGCTGAGCTGCCTCAGCAGGTCCCAGCCCTGAGGGGGGGTCACCAGGCCCCTTGTCTGACATCTGTGGACTCAGGTGCCTGGTGCATCCTCTGTAAAAATCCATAGGAAATCCTGGCACAGCGCTAGTGTGCCTCGACAAGGTGTTTGCAGGGGAGAGTGGCCCACCCACGTACTGGGATAAATCATTTTGCCACTCACCTGCCTTTGAGGAGACCTGAGACTGTAGGTGGATGACTTATTTCTCCAGCGTTGTTCCCTCAGAACACTAACCCTTTCCTAGGTTGAGCGCTCCCTCACCCAAGATCAAAGTAGGAGCTACTGGTCTGAGCAGGGGAAGAGCTGTTTTCTTCTCATCCTTATGTTTCCTGGGAAAATGTGTTTATTTATCTTGAAATAGCAAATATTCCCTCACCAAAAGTGGCTATTGCTACTTGAACTATTTTCAAATACATCTGATAGTCTACATTTGGAAGTATAAAAGACTTTTTAAGTAATTTCCAGGAAATCGTGCTGTTGAAAATATATGATGAGTTGTTTTTCTTTTCTTTTTTTTTCTTAGGCTATATTTCTTGGTCTCTTTACCATGAACTGCCACCGATGATCTATTACTTCCCCCTTCAGACACTGGCACTCACGGGTCTGGAAGTTTTTGCTGTTGCCTTCTTTTCTCCAATACTCTTGATAATTGGCCCTTTTTGGCTGTTGGCTAACAATAAGTACATCCTAGCCCTTCTGAGACTGACTATGGTTGGTAAGTATGTACCGTAATGAGCTATAGATTCCATCTTGGTATGAAGACATAAGACTAAACATTCCAAATTGCCCCAAAATTAATAAGACCAAATCTCGTTTCACTTTTATTTCTAGAAACTTTTAAATTAGTACAAGTCACGCCCAGTAGGAAGAAATTTTTGATATTGCACAGAGATCAGCAGAGCAGGTGTCCTTTTGTATAGCAGTTCTGTGTCTGTGACAATGGGTAGGGAAGAGGAGTTACAGAACAGCTTGGGGCTATTATAAAAGTAATCTGCTGTGAATGAAACATTATTTTTGGTAGACTTAATTTCTGAAGCAGATTGTGAGGGTTTTTGTTAAAGAATATGTTGGGTTTTTTTTCCATTTGTTAAATATGCCTGTATTCCTGTAGCATATTGATGGGGTTATCCTGAGTGTGAGATGGCTCTCATATTGTCAGTTGCACAGGAGGAAAGTTTTATCTCATATTCAAAATAAGTTCGCCTCACTACCCACCCTACATGCTCTTCCCTAAAGCAAGACTTGCTGGGATTCCCTCTTTGGTGCAAGTCTTAGCTCTTGTTAATTTTCTGAAAGTTTGTTGGGAGAAGGTTTGGCAGCTACAGCTGCATTCAGAAGCAAGTTATTGCTAATGAATTTGCAACACCTGGATGAACTCAGAGGACATAAATGTCTCCATCCTGCGTACAGGGAAGATGCTGCTGCTAAGTGGTGTCTTTCAGAAGCAGCAGTTTCTGGCTCCTCATTTATCAATGTAAGATGATAATCAGAGAATCACCTTCCATATAATTTTCTTCTTTTACTGGCACAGGGTCATTTTATCTATGTTCTTTGCGTTACTTCAGTTTTAAAAAGAATTCTTGTTCTTTATCTCTAAAAAGATACTAGAACTGAAGACAGCTAATTGGTTTTGTCAGTTTAGAGGAAGCATAGTTTTACCATGTTCTTTTCTTTTCTACACTTTGTTGTATCTGTCCTAGTACTTCTCTGTTGTTTTTTTTAATAAGCTTTTCAGTGAGCAGAGTCTTCCACTTCAGCTTTCTGCAGCAGTGCTCAGTCCATTGCTTTCGACAAGATCTGCTAATTTAGAAACTAGTAATGAGTGTAAGCATTTCAAATAACACCCTGCATTCCTTCAGATATTACAGTAACACAAAATTTAGTTAAGGTTAGTCCTTCAGGTCATCTTGCTCTGTTTACTAATTCACTAATTCAGAGATGGGAATTGCTTAAATGTGTGCTGCTAAGTAAAGAGCAGTAACAAGCCTGTAAAGTCTGCTGGTTTGCTTCACCTGAATCTCAAACTCCTGAAGATACTAACTACAAACAAAAAGCTAGCACCTTTGGCAGTGATCTGGGGAAAGGATATGTTAATGGTGATAGATGGACTCCAGAGCATGGGGGAACCGAAGCTGTACACATTCTTACTTTTGGGCTAAGCTGAGCATTTCTGGATGCAGAAATACTCCTTTCCTGCCTGAACAGTGGCCACATCCCCCTGCTGTTTCTGTCTTCCAAACCATCCTAGTACTGTCCACCCTTGGCGAATCTACACCATATTCTCTCCCAGCTCTACTGTACTTACTCAGATTCCCCTTACCTGTTGCTCCACAGTGAGCATCAGCATTTGGGGAAGATGTAAGAGCAGGTTCTTCGCGCCCTTTGTCTCCAGCAAAGAGTTTAGTAGCCAGTGGTAAGTCTCACTCTTTTCTTGCTTGCCCACTACAGGTTCTCAAACCGCTTTAAGTTATCCGGATGCCCTTGCACAGGCAGCGCTGGGTTTTAGGACTTTGCATATATATCTTTTTACTTGATTCTCATCACTCCATTATCTTTTAAATATGCCCTGTCATACTGTGCTGCTGTTTCTCCTGTTCCTCAATTATTCCTGCTTTCTTTCCTTCTTCATAACTGACACTTCTTCCTCCTTTCTCTTTCTGATCTTTTTTTCCTTCTCAGAAAGCCCATGGCCTTACTCTCGGGCTTGTTGAACGAAATTGGGCAGAAGAATCTGCCCCATGCATGCTCCGCCCCATTCCACTGGAAATACTCAGTCTTCAATTTCACAATCAAAAAATCTGGAAATTCTTCATGCTTAGCTAAACCAGAATATTTAGGGGGTTGGGGTTTTTTGTTTTGATGGAAAAGGCTCTTCCCTTATTCATCATTATCTTTCTTTTTGCTTTTTCAGGAAGCTTTATTTTCTCCAAAACTTCTGTTTTAATATATGTATCCTTTCATACTGCTGATTTTGTGTTCTGTTTAAAGAAGGCTGACAGCAACGACCTACCCCTGTGGTAGTGTCCATTTGAATCTGTGTCTTCATACAACACGCAATAAATTTGCATGTTTGGATAGATATATTTGCTTTTTGGGTGTACCTGCTCAGCAACAAAAGGTGTGTCTGCTGTAAGCAGGCAAACCTGCGCTAGCTTTAATCTGGCTAGCACAAGTGATGAAAGGTTTGAAGAGGCAGAGTTGCGAATTTCAACACAGTTTAGCGATGGAAATCTGTGTGAGTTGTACGTGCAACCCTCTGCTAACGTCCATACAAGTACCTCTTTGCTACACGTTGATTTTATTTTACCATCTTTGCTCTAAACTAAGCTTTGCATCTTTTACTCGGAGCTTAATGAGCACATAGACAGTTAGAGGATTCCTAGCATGCATTGCCAGAGACAGCAGCTCCATTTCTGGCCTTCCTTGCGTAAAGTCTCTTTGAGGTTGACTCATACTCACTTAGCACACGGCTGGAAGCAAAACGATGTTGCTTCTCCTCCTGTTTGTCACTCGTCCTGGGCCAGAATTTGTGACACTGACTGAAGTTAGGAAAATATGTGTGACCCAAGACACTTGATTGGAAAAAAAACCACTGCTGATAAAAGTGAGGTCACTGTGCCCTGGAAATGGCAGCACATGCACGGCCTCTTTCAGTGACTGGGGAAGTGACAGTTTTCAGTAAGAAGATGACACAGGCTGTGAATGGCCGTTCTGAGACCAGATACCAGGCTAGAGAAAGCCTTGTTCACACCCAGTAAGGCAGTTGCCTACTAACTCTTGTGCAGTGGGTGGTGGCTGCTTCTGAAAAGACATGGCTTTTGCCACAGCACACTTTTATGTAAGTGCACTGTGGCAAAAGCCCAGTCCTTTTTAGAAAGGAGTAATCATGATACATAAAGTGTTACAGCTTTTATATAAGTGTGCTGTGCATGAATATCTGTATGCTTAGATATTTTGGCCATATATCCTATTTATGGAATCAGTGACCATAGGTATTTAAATTAAAGCAATCACTGCAGTCTTGGATAATCACGCTGTGTTATTTTTTTTTTTCCTGAAAGTGGTAACTCCTGTAATGTCATATATACCCAGTTTCTATCCATACCTACATTTCTTTGGTTTAAAAATGTATAGTGTCGTGTGTTTTCAGATGAATGGTGTAGCTATTGAAATGACATACAAGATTGAACTAATACACGGGTAGTCTTTATTACTTGATCTTTATTGTCCATTAAAGCAACCTCTGTGTGTGTTTGTCTGTAGGAAGCTTAGCATCATACCAGGCACCAAACGCTTCAATTAGACTATTCGTCTTGGCTGCAGGTGTTTCTTCCTCATTGCTGGTTCAAACAGTAACATGGTGGTCAGGAAACAGTTTACAAAGGTATCTTTTTATGCTGATGGGATTATAAATGGGATTGTAAATGACACTTCTTCATATTAAAAAGTTGGGGTTTTGTGAGAAGTTAAGATTATTGTGGTTTTGTTAGTTTTTTTCCTCAAATGCATCACTGTTCCAAAACTGACTCTTACAGGTTCCTCAGGATATGGGGCTTCATGCTAGGCAAGATATTGCTCCTTGTTCTTCGCATCTGGTATACGTCACTAAACCCAGTCTGGAGCTCACAAGCTGCTAATGCTGTCATACTGGGACTTGGTTTTATAGCAGCAGTGGAGCGAATTTATTCAGGTAAGCTTATTACAGCAAAGATGGCAGTTGTGAAAACATCCTAAATTATACCTGTCACTGGCATTTGATTCTTTGTTTTTTTTATCCCCAGTGCAGTCTGGTTTTAGACCTGATGCATGAGCATTGCAGACTTTAGAAACCATGGGGTACTTCCATCTGCCCATAACATGGCAGAATCAATATCACAGTTCATACAGCTGTAGTAAGTTGGTGTTGGAACTGCCAACTAATTGCAGTATCAATAATGTGACAGTAACACAAACAAAGGCATAACTTAGACCAATAAAACTAGAATGGGTTATCCTCATTCCAGCGCAAAACATCTGTGGTATTTCTGTTATTTTGTTAATTCAATCTGCTCTTTGAGTTTCTCTGCCAGTGCGTATCCTTTGACAGAGAAGGGGAGACGGGGCAAAGCTGGGGAACAGCTGATGTGACAAAATAAACAGAAAGAATTGGGAGAGTGGATGCATTGTCCTTGTCAAAATGTGCCTGAGTTCTTGGAGTGTCTGTACAGAGTACCCAGCAGTGGGGACTGGCGTGGACCCATCTGCCTTCACTTTAAAACTGTGAAGGTAATATTAGCAAGAAAGACAGCAAAGTTGGGCTGGTTAGTTAAGGCAGCTCATGTTAAATCCTCAGAAGTTCCTTCCTTCTCAGTATAACCTGAATTAATTAATTGAAAGATAAGACCTTATCTATGTGTAAGTAGGTGTAAATTGGCATGGTGTGTATTGTTTGTAGACTTGTGTTACTTGACATGAAGCCTGAGCTTCCATCATATTTTAGAAAGGAGATTAGGAAGGGAATCTGTCTTCTTCCTAGGTGACAAAGCAATATGTCTTTAAAGGTGCTGTTTTCTCCTTAGAGCAGAGAGGGTCTAAAGAGTGTGGAAAAAGGAGAAGAGAAGGAAGGGAATTTATTTCTGGCTTCTTTGGGAGTGTCAGGTTTTGCTCTTATCAGAGTTTAGTGTTTCAGAGAACAGAATCCTCTGAACAAATTCTAATAACTTCTGTTGATTTTCAAAGCCAGTTTAATTTAAATTCCAGTAGTATGAAGAATAATTGTGTGGGCAGGTTGTCATTTTTGTACACTTAAGGTGAGTAGCTTTTTCTGACAGACCTGGAAATGTTATTAGATATTTTTCTTGTCTTATCAATTTCCACAAATGATCAGATAAGTTTAGCTTTTGTGTCTGAGCCAGTAATATGTTCTGGTAATTTTGTGGTCTTGGTTGTTTCTTTTTCTCAGTAACCATTTCTAATAGGATTTGACAGTTTTTTCATTTGCTCATAGCTATATTTCTATTCTTCTAGGTGGAGACAAGAGGAAACAAGAAGCAAACAAAACTGGTAATGCAGTTAGAGAGACTGTTTCCCACTCTCACTGGCTTTTGTCAGGGGTAGCTTTTGGCAGCCTCATGTTCCTCACCCTGTGGATATTTGGGGAGGTCTCACTAATTTCTAGATGGGCAGTGAGTGGACATCCACATACAGGTCCAGATCCTAATCCATATGGGTAAGCGCATGTTGTATGTCTAGAAATTTCTTTTTCAATGCCAGTTGTTTATAAAATTATATTAATATATGATTTCTTTTTCCTTATTGTTTCATTAGAGGTACAGTTCTCTTGGGCCTGGCACACGGACTGATGCTGTCATTTTGGAGCTGGTCTTCTGTCACCAGTTTTGTTTGGTTTCTTGTAGGTAGGTACAAATCCTGAGCAAAATGTTTGTTTCTATTACTGTACTCCCTTTAGTCAAGCCCTCTGACCCTACACCACATCTCAGAAAAGCAAATTGCTAATCAAAGCATCTTTTTCTCTGTCACTGACTCTATATGCAAGTCTGACCATTGATTAAGGGTTACAGGCCAACTCTCCAGGCCTCTGCAGAGCAGTGTTGTTCTCTTCAGAAGCCCCTGTTGAGGTTCTGTTCCCATGAGTAGCATCTTGGTTCTCACAGTGCATTGAATAAGGCTACATCTAAGGTTATGGGGTTGAGATGACACAAGCCTCTTAATTTCGCAGGAGGCACAATAACTTGTAATTTAATGAGCAGTTCATCTGGAGGTAAACTTACCTCATGTCTCCTAAGTTGCCAAGATCTCCAGGCAGTAAAATAGTATGACCAACAAGGCAATTCTGCTGGAGCAATATATTTGTGAAGCAGGTCTGGGTGGTGGGGATAGGGATTCAAGTGCTGGATCTGGACATCCGCTTTCAGGAGGGTGGTATGGCTGTGCTGTAGAGCAAATTAGGCACGGAGCGAGTAGGTGGAGATGGAAATAATTCTGTTCTTGAAAGGTATGTTTTCCATACCTTCTCAGCATGGATGAATGAATCCAGCTTGGTTTAATTTGTAGGCTCATCTGAGTGAAATTTAGTGATATAAATGCTGTTTTAAAACCCCATAAATCTGCTGCTTTTTGGCCTTGGCTAACTGTTTGTAGAAGCTTATATCAAGAATAAAAAGCAGTACTTCCTATAAATGTTTAATAATAAATTGGGATATGTCAAAATACAGAGACCAAAGAAAATGATAAGTTACGTTTTGCTTTTTTCTTACTTGCCTTCTCTTTTGGAGCACTTAAAAGCCAAAGCTTTTAAGTCATTTTCCACAACCTTGAAGACAAGAAATTTAATGCAAATTGGGTTTCTCTTAGTCAGGAATCGAAATAAAATACCAAATATCAGGAAAGTCACAATAAAGGCACAAGAGTTGGCAATGCTTAAGCCTTCAGTTGCCCAAATAATTTACCTTTTGGTGCAGGTGTTAGTTTTAAGAAACGTGTGTGCAGGCTGTAATGTGAGTATGAGCATTTGATTTTTGATGTATACACATTGCTAATTTAAAACAAGTACAGAATGGTTTGTTAGCGGATTCAAGTATTGTATTTTCAAATGCTCAGAACATTGATGCATAAGAGTAAAATATTAAATTTTTTTCTCTACATGAGCTATCATGATGTGAAAGTTAGTAAACATTTTCTTACCAGAATTAAAGTTTTAAATGAAATAGAGAGTTTCTGTGGTTGTTAATGTTCTGTTTGGGATCAAATCCCATCACAGTCAAAGGCAGTGTGGTAAATCAAGTATCTTGCAGTTAGTAAAAGACTAGTAGTTGTTTTCTTGCCCATCATATGGTTATCTAAAGGGAGAGAAGATCAGGGAAAAATATTATTTCTCTTCACATTAACCTGTTTGATTCTTTCTGTATTCTGTTAAACGAGGTTCATAACAGGCAGAGCTGTTAATCTCTTAAAAACTGCATCATCCCTTTTGTGCTGGAAGAGCTCTCTGTTAGAAAATCAGTTCAGTTTTGGCTCTTGATGATGTTTCTCTGCTTTTTCCAGCACTGTTTTCAGTTAATAGGCAATCTTTAAGAGAATGAGCTATCTCTGTCTTTGGCTATAGGGAATAACTGTCTTTCTCGTGATGCACTTCTCATGGCTGCAAAGCACAGGTATATTCCCAGCCTCTCTTTTTTTCTCCTAGACAGAATGTGAAAAATAAGGTTGGAGATAACATGCCTGACTGTGACTTTTTTTTTTTTTTTTTTATCCCTTCATAGGTTTAGCATCCTCGGCTGGTCTCCTTTATTTACACACCTGGAGTGCTGCTGTTGCAGGCAACGTTCTTGCTGTCTTTACCATGTGTGTGTGGCCTCAACTGGCCGGACGCTTCGTTAGCTGTCTGCACCCTGGGAAAGCCATGACTACAGCCATGCTTGCCTACGTTCTTGAATTATTCTTCTGTGTGTGGTGTACAGCTTATAAATTTGTACCTGGAGGAATTTACGCTAGAGAAAGCTCCCATCTCCTTTTAGGTACGTTTATGACTCTGAACAAACACAAATATGCTTGCTTTAGCCTCACCCAGATGTTTAAAATTTATTTAGTGTATAAATAGTTTTTCCAAATGCTCAGCTCCTGTTTGATTTACTATGGTAAGAGCTTCTATGAGAAAATTCATGAAACATGCAAAAAATAATTACTTTTTTTCTTTACTGTTAGAAATAGTTTAAAATGTTAGCAGAAAATGAAATTCAGTTGAGGGAAAATTACAATGTGGAAACAAAGTGTGATAACTCGATACACAACTGAGGAAGAGCTCTGTTAATCGGTCACCCTAAAAATATGGGTGCAATCCAGGGTGTGAATGCACCTGTATGTTGTTACCTGAGATAGCAGTATGGTACCTCAGGTAACAATGTCATTTCTGGAAGCTTCAGGGGTTTATGAAAGCTGTGTTAGTGGGACTGTAACATAATTCAGTGCATTATTTAGCCCTGATCTGAGGACCAACGTGCAGCGTCCTGCTGATCTAGCTGGTCTGTATTTGAGACCTGAGGTTCATTTCTCCACGGCTGTACCTTATGCTTTGTGGACACACCAGCATGTTTGGAGGAATGTCGATGAGCCTGCGGTGTCAGAAACATGCAAACAGGAGAGGAAGAAAAGAAATTGTCAGGTACTTGCCAGTGAGGAAGAACTGAGGAGAGCAAATACAAAGGTTTTAACAAAATGACCTCTTGATGAAGGTGGAAAGGTGGAAACGAAACCAACCCTTTCTGTTTTTGTCTCCCGAGTTTTCTTAATAGGTACTAATGTGTTTCAATAGTATATTTCACTAATTACATTGAAACAATGCCAAACATTGTCTTGGACTAAGTGTGTGGCACATCTTAAAATGTGACACATTATCCTATATTTTGTTTGAAAAGGATCACAGAATCATAGAATGGTTTGGGTTGGAAGGGACCTTAAAGATCATCGAGTTCCAACCCCCCTGCCCTGGGCAGGGACACCTCCCACTAGAGCAGGTTGCTCAGAATCCCATCCAGCCTGGCCTTGGATTAATGAGTGCTGTGCTTGACTTGTTGCTCCAATCATTTTAGATTTTGTAAATGTCTTTGAAACCACTTTCTGTCACTCCAGTTTCTTAGTCTCCATAGGTATTTGATATATTACAGCAGTCAGGTGCAGGGTTTCAGTTTAGTTTGTTTTGAGGAGAATTCCATCACGTTTATTGCAGGTTTCTTTGTTCTGAATGTACTCTCAGAACCTGTAGAAACAGTTATCTCAATTTAATTTTATTTTCTTGAAGTTATATGAAGAAAGCATGTGGCAGAAGAATGTTAAATGCTTTCTTGAGTAATGCTTTGACAAAAGAAAAGCTGATATATAAAATCCCTCTCTGTCACTTCCTTTGAAATACAAGTGTGACTAATTCACCTGGCATGGTGACTGGATAGGAACATAGAGAAGGCCCTAACTTTCTCTTTGGTAAAAAGAAAACTGTGAACTGAACTCGTCTCAGGTGATGGCACTACACGAGTTTGTTCCATCCGAGAATCCAGTTTCTGGTTTTTTTTGATGCCATCCCATTGCTTATGAAAGATTTGCAAATTATACCATGAGATTGTGTATTTGTTGCTGCGCTTCTTCCCTTACAGCTTGGCTTTCTGGCAAACTGCTTTTTTTCTTCTGGTTTCTTTCAGGTGCAAGTGCTATTTCTTGCTTTCTCCTCCTGTCCAATATCCTGCCTTTCTCTTGCCGCAGTTTGCATAGGGAACTGCCCCAGGAAAAGTGACAATGAAAGTAAGATCATTATATTGCAAATTTCTGTGCTGCTTCACTGTGATGTAACATAATGCTGGAGGGTCGGATCCCTAGTTTTCTATCAACTTTAATGGCTTTGAATCTCCCTTTGAGAAAGGTTTTGTGTGTGCCCCTTCATCATGGCACTAGACCCAGCTTCCTGGTTTGCAGATTTTCACTACAACTAATGTAACAAGTAAGAGCAACAAGAAAATACTGAGTAATAAGGTTTTTTTTACCTTCGGCTATCACTGTGAAATAAAACATGACTTCTATAGTTAATTAACTATGCCACAAAGAATATATTAAGGATGACATATACCTTTTCCAGCAGAGCTCTTATCCAATTCATGATGCTCCTACATTTTCTTTGCAGGTAATTGGATCCTTTAGCTTGTAAGTGGTGAGAAAGGAGCTTGTACTATTAGTCTGAACTACTGTTGAAAAGAAAAGATACCATCACAGTGCATTGCAACAGTTAGTGCAGTGAAGTCACTTACTGGCTTTTAAAACATCTATAGTTGTGTTTAGTTTTCTGTTCTTAAAAAGCACAGCTGCTTCTGTTGGCTCTGGAGCAACAGCATACATGATGCTGCCATGTTAAACTGGCCTCCCAACCTGCTGGAGTTTTACCTTACAAAACCTTACACTGTTTTACAACAAACTGTTGAGCAATTGCTTTTGTGGTTCTTATATAAAAACTTGGACAGAGCTGTTCCATTTGCAAAGATAATAGACATCTGTAATCAACAATGTATTTTTATATCAAACTGTTATTTTAAGGTTCTGTAATATGGAGGTGTAACGTCATCGTTTTTGTCCAGGTTAATTCCAGTAAACTTTGAAATCACTGGGCTGAGCTGAGAGTTGTAGTGGTCAATAGGGGCTTGGAAGTGTTTTAGCATCATTTATCTACTGTGTGCTAGCCTTTTTGACAGAAGACCCTGAAACTGTACTGCAAATCAATGTTTGTTTGAGAGTGCTGGCTAAGTGTGCTCAAGGTTCAGTGGCAGTTGGTGTTAGGATACACAAAGGTGGGGAGGTCTGCTGAAAAATTCACTACTTTGCCCCAGATGAAAGGATTAAAATATTTTCATTGTTGTCCCAATTAGTACATGAATGGAGGAAGGGAAAAGGTGGTTTTAAACAAATATTTCACTAAGAGAAGCAGCCTGATAAACTGTGTAGTAGTGAGACCCAGTAGTACCAGCAGAGTTAAAATATATTTACGTTTCCATAGTGAATAATGAGATAGATTTTGAGGATTGTTCTGTTAGCACCCAATGCAGCCTGATGCTTGGGACCACAAAGTTATCATCTGGTAATGTCATGGTCCTCAGGTCACTGGGTTGCAAGGGAAAAGCAAGAACAGCTGTAAGTTGCGTTGGTGTCAGTAGCTCCCCTTGTGCTCAGCCCGAAAGACCCAAAGGTGGACTGTATTTTGAAGCTCACCATAGTCCAGAGTAGAGTTCATAATGTGAAGGGGTCTTTACCGAGATACTTTTACTATTAGGTCTGCTCTTCAGTTATCAGAACAAAGCATGCTTAATAAGGTTGTTTCAGGCATATTAAATCTTAGCAGCAGCTTATTTGAAAAAAAAAAAAACACCACCAAACAAAAAACAAAACCACCCCAAACAATGTAATTTTGAACTTTACTATTTTTGTGTGAAACAGGTATTCAGTGGCATTTATAATAATCTTTTAGCTTTGAATTCTTATTGCAATACTACTGTTTTGAATTATTTTTTGAAATATTTATCATTAGTGGCATGTTTAATGACATTTGCTCATTTTGTTGCAAGCAACATTTACATCAACAACAATGTAAATAAAAAATTTTTGAAGTGCTGCAGGCATAGGTGAGGTGAATACTGTGGCGATGAGAAGTCTGATCTTCTCTATCAATAAATCTCACATTGTCTGCATTACTGCATTGGGTATGGCATTTTTCTGTGATTGTGTTTTGAATTGTCTTTGTTGTTGGAGCCATAAGGATGAATGTAACACAACAGCTGGGAGTTTATAAATGGTGCATTTATGAGCTATGTTTAATATGTTAAAGCTCTATGAAAAAAACTAATGAGTTATATTTTCACAGGGTTTATCATGTTATGTATCAGGGTAGACTTTCTAACAGGACCCAAGAAGGACCTCAGCTCTGTCTTTGAAGTGAAAAACAACCAAAAGGCACTATTCAAAAAGAGTAAAAACTATATTAAACTACGTAAGTATAATTTCATTTCCTTTCTTCCATGACTCTAGGAATAATGTCTGAGGAAAAAGAGTAAGGCAGTGGAGTGTTTTGCTTGGATGTTTTTGAAATGCTTTCTGGTGCTTATTTTAGAGCCAGACTTGTAGTTGGTATTGCCCTAGTTCCAGTTTTAATTATGACATATACTAACTGAGGAGCTGATTCACTATGATTACAGTTGAGAGAGAGGCTGTTCCACACGGAATGTGTTAAAAGGAGACCAAAAAATATGAACTGGGGAAAAAAGAAAATGTGAAGATGGATTTGGCGTCATTTGTGATTTCATTTTGGCAGTTGGTGAGGAGGCCTCTCTGGATGTTGGGATTTAGTACATGTGTATACAAAAAAACCACAACCCTGAATGATTTCTCAGCCCATTTGGTATGTTGATTTTGAAGCAGTTCAGTGTGACACCCTTTATAGGGCTGTGTAAGCCAGCTGGCAGTGGGGTGGGACTCTGCTGGCCCGGGAGCTGCCATACAACGTGACACCCCTCCTGTGTGAGGAGGCTGTCTGCAGAGCCTGTTGTGGCTGACATCACTACACGATCCTGACACCCTGCTTCATGTTCAGACCAGACCTGTCCTCAGGAACCTTTGTCATCATCTGCCTATGGACTTTGCCTAGGGATCCTAGCTAGACTTAGCTAGGGTCTGCTTTTTCCCTTAGGTTTTGAAGAGAAATTAAAATCTTTTGAGGTTTTACTGCTTTTGGCTCTGGAATCCATCCAAATGTCATTTTCAAGTATTTCTCTACAATTGTTTGAGTTTCAGATTTGTTTTCATTGTTAGCTTAATTTTTCTATCGAGAGAGTCTGTCACTATTGTGAAGTTTGGTAAAGGAAAAAATTGCTAGGCATGCTAACCATACAGAGATCAGGACGCGGAAGGTTCAAATCCCTGCATCTTTTTTTCCTCTGACTTTGGATCAAATCACTTATCATTTGCATACCTCATTTTGCCTCATCTGGAAGTGGACACAATGTTGCTTCATCACTTTTCAGGGGTGATTCTGAAAGCTTTTTGAAGGTCTTTAACCTATATACTCAGAGGCCAGAAGAACGTGGCTCCTGAGAGTTTGTCTGTTAGAGGTAACGTGAGCACCAATGCAAGTCGTTTGAATTTGACTACTCAAAAACATTTCACAAAAGTGAATAAATACTTCAAAATACTGTCTGTCACAAATCACAGCCCTTGCTCAGCTAATTTTGTGGTGTTACAACAGTAACTCTTGTACTTCCTCATCGTGCCCAAACTTGTATTCTCAGCTTCCCCTTTAAGCACCTTTGCATTTTGCAGAGTATAAAATTGCTTGCTTGACCTTTACTAATGTATACAGCGTGTCCTTTCTTCTGACCTCATCCATGATAAAATTTAAATAAATTTTACACAAAATTGTTCCAGAAAACTTGCATAAAAATAATTACATATGTGTTTAAAGATTTGGTGAAAGGATAAACTGAGTTACTGAAATCATTGCAGATAGCGCATGCCACTGTGTAAATGAAATAGCCACAGAGGGGCTTTGGTCATCAAATTACAATGTGCCAAACCCTGAGAGCTCTTAAATGTCCACTGTGGTTATTTGGAAGACTACAGAAGCGACAGGAAAGCTCTGAATTTGCATTCTGTGAAGCCACAACGCCTTTCCAAGAATGTGTCAAACAAAGGATTGCTCTGGAGGTCTGGCAGGGATCACATCTTTCTGACATCTAAAGGGCTTGTGAAGTAAACTAAATTTTCTTCCACGCATTGTACTAATACAAAATTTAAAAAGTGCACCACAAATGCCTACCTGGAACACAGAGGGGAAAAACACTGGAAGGTTTACATGATGCTCTTGCTCATTTCCTGTAATGAATTCTTCAGTGGGTATCACTTTTACATAAATATTCTGAGGAGTTTTGGTGCATTTTATTTGCTCAGCCTGTTGAGTTTTGGAGAATATAAGTATATCTGCACACATATAGATACTCTTAAGTACACTGCTTTGGAATGGCATTATCACTGGCATATGTGGAAATTTAAATGTATGTATTTTCCATTCTATGAATAGCACATCTTAGAATGACAGTGTACCAGTTCTGTTTAACTGCAATAACAACAACATTCTTTTCTCCTGCTTTAAAAACAACTCTTCTGTGTTTTTCTGTTTCAAGTGTTGTGGCTGTTTGTTGGTGTTGGTTTGCTGGGATTGGGTCTACGTTACAAAACTTACCAGAAGAAGTTGGGCCACGGGGTGAGTAATATGTTTGTGAAAATGGTAACTTTCAAATATACAATAAAATGTGTGTGTGGTATCTTAGATGTATTCGTAACAGTGTCCAAGTATTCAGCAAAACTAATGCAGAAATGAAGATGCAAAAAGTTTAATTTGTAAATTCATGTTGAACATGGGAAATGTCTGGGTCTTTGGAGATTTACAGCGCTGCTACAAAGGGAAAAAATATTCTGAAAAACTGAGAGATGCTTGCCTTAATATATTCAATTTGAGTGTTACTTTTATAAATAAGTTTATTTGAATTGTATTCAAAACTTGACTGGACAATGCTGGTAGCAGCCTGATCTTATATCAGGGAAGCTTGAACAGTTAACCTCCTGAGGTTCCTTCCAGCTGAAGGAATTCTATGCTTCTATATTTATATGCATAACTCTGAATTGAACCTCTTTGAAAAGTTGGTTGACTTAGATTGGACTGGGACTAGTTATGGAAATTGGATAAAAATCAGAAGATTTCAGGTTTCTATCTGGCAAAAAATTAGGAGTTGTAATGATAATAACAATTAAGATGCTTAATGTTCCCTAAGTTTAGCATTTAGATTACTTACAAGTTGTCCAAATATGTCACTTGCCTATTTAGTAATTTTAATTCAAAATTAGAGCTGTTTTGATCAGATATAAATTAACATGTTTCCATTCTATGCTTTAATTGATTACTAATATAAAATTGAATTTTTGATGCCCTTGGTTGCAATTAAAGATTAGAGGGGTTTTTTTGGGTGATAGTTTGGATATAGTCCTTTGAAACTTGCTCTTGACCTGTTATTCCTGTTGGAAATCACTGATGACAAATGCAGGAAAAGATGCAGAAAAGGTGATGACAACTAAGTAGAAATTGTGTGTGCATTTGTTGTATTCACACATGTGCACAGACATATACAGTTGGCTTTCTGTTTAGAACTCCTCCAGGTTTGTAGTACCTTTTAATGTGGAAGAAAGTGGGTAGTTTGTATTAAATTTGTAATCTTTTTCATATTCATTTATTTACTTGTATAAATTCATTTTAACTATGGTGACTTTTCTCCTCTTGTTAATAGCAAATTTTTCTCAAAAATGCCTAAAGTCTTTTGTAATCCTGACAGCTTTATTAGGAAAATATATTGGTTGAAACATCCCTTCTTGCCTGTCTTTTTTTGGTACCATGTATCTGATGTTGTTGACTGCAAAGGTATAATACATGACAGTCAAATTGTACTTGACTCTTTTTCTGTGGTGTGGTTTTGTTTTGTTTTTAGGTTCCAAAAAGAGACTTCTCTGCTATGATCTGGCCTTTTAGATTTGGTTATGACAATGAAGGATGGTCTAATTTGGAAGGATCAGCTAATTTGCTTAATCAGACAGGTAATGTTTTTTTTCCACTTAATTTATATTTGAGAGGGTTCATCTGAAGAGACAGATGGGTAACTGAGTCTGTTCTTGCATTAACACAAGAACCTGTGTCTTGTGGCTTTCTCCTGAATTTGTGAGCTGTTCCAATACAGTCACCTCAGTTAAAAATACATTTGCAGAGGTGAGAATTTTTTAATGTATTCTAAAGAGGTTTCTGGTTGGAGGAAACACTTTTCTTAGTATTTGGATTTTTTTCTCATACTGCTGGTGAGTTGCTTGTCTAGAGAGAAGTTATTTGCATGAATGAAATAATGATAAATATCCTTTTAGATACTGTTTTATAACTGCTGTGTTTTCAGATGTAAATTGTTATGTAATTCCTAAAACGTCTGAAAATAAAATGCCCTAAATAAGGTGTGCAAAGGATACACAGACAAGTCTGTTTCCATCACTGAGCCAGAGTGATTTATAAAAGAAAAAATAGTGATGGTAGCTTGGTTGTCATGATTTTAATTTAAAGAAGGGTGTCTAATCTGTTGCTTATGGAAAGGATTTTGGTTGGAAAATTAGCTATAGAAAATGAAGAATTTGGACCAAAAATTAGCTGCTACGGGTTGAAAGGAATTGACTAGTGGTGCTTGTAGGTGTTACTCATGCAAGCCTTGCTCTTGTGGCGGAGATGCCTAGAAATTAGTGAAGAGGGAACAGGTTGATTCGTGCATCATTCACTCCCTTGTCCCATGAGCAAAAGTTCCACAGGGCTGAGCAATGTGGGCTGTCTAGTGATAGGAGAAAACAATTGGGACGTTTGATGAATTGAAATTTGGGGCATTCTTATACTTACGTGATTCTGTAGCTGCACACTTGCTGCTGCTGCACCTGTACCAACCTGCTGCTCGAGCTGAGCCTGGATGGTTCAACTCAGCCTGTGCCCCAGTTTGCAGCTTCCCGTCTTCCTTCAGGCATGGGGAGATGTTTCTTAGCTGCCAGATCCTTCAGGGACCGTATAGCTCTTCTGTATCCTGCAGCTAAAATAGAGGGTAACCTTCATGTTCCCCTGACAAAACCACACCTCAGCATGTAAACAGGGAGGAACCACAGTTCCCTGAGAAAGTGAGGTGGGTGAGGATGGTCAACAATTCAGTAGAGCTGGGAATCTTTCTGTTACCATGCCTGGGAGCTGACACTAGGTTGCTATAGGCTCATTAATTGCTTTGGCAGCAGCAGCCTGCTCCCTCTTGCACAGGACCCTTGGGAGCAGAATAGGATTTGGTAGATGAAGTGCAGATGTGCTGGGTAGTGGTTGTTCATCAAGTTGAAAGCAATAGACTCGCTACTGTGCTGTTAATCTGTGTATGCACGTTATGTCTCATGGTTTTGAAATGGTCTGCACTAGGTGTGTACAGGCCAGCTGTGCTGTGCAGCCTCACGTGTGTCTGGTTATGTACCAGGCAGGAGCTGTGGCATACAGACACCGAGTACCTCTCCATCAGAGGCTGTATAGCCTCTGGTGGCTGTGTAGCCTCTTTAACTGTAAATGAAAGTTTGGGCATGACTCTGTTGCCAGCATAAGATTTGCCCTGATTGACTCCTGAAGGGCTTGTGTCCATCCTCGTGTAATCAAAAGGGAAACGATGACATTATATAGTAACAGGCGATAGGACGAGGAAATGGCCTCAAGCTGTGGCAAAGGAGGTTTAGATTGAATATTAGGAAAAATTTTTACACTGAAATGACTAATAAGCATTGGAACAGGCTGCCCAGGGAAGTGTTTGAGTCACCGTCCCTGGAGGTATTTAGAAGATGGGTAGACATAGTGCTTAGAGATACAGTTTAGTGAGGGTTCTTGTCAGTGTTAGGTTGATGGTTGGACTCGATGATCTGAAAGGTCCTTTCCAAGCCAGGCAATTCTATGATTCTGTGATTTATAGATCACGTTTACAGGTCACAGTTATAAACTTGGAAATATTTTCTTTTTTCTTCCCCATTTTTAGGTGCAGATTTTATCACTATTATAGAGAGCGATGCCTCTAAACCATTCATTGGGAACAATGATCCAACAATGTGGCTGGGAGAAAGACTAGGATTTTACACAGATTTTGGTCCAAGCACAAGAGATCACACTTGGGGGTGAGTCATCCTTACATGCAGAATGACAGTAAATAAGTGTAAATACCCTGTCCAATACTAACTCCATTAGAACGTGGGCAAAGAATAATTGGAATAACAGTCACTGTAATCACTTGGAGCTTGTCTTTAAGAACATGCTTTGATTGCTTTGCGTTACAGTGCAATGCAGATGAAGTTTTCTTGTTGTTAAAAATAATCAGGTTTTGGTGCCTGCCTCTGCTTTGGCTTTGGTGATGCAGAGAATGGCATCCTGCCCTTTAATGTACAGATTTGGAAGTTTGGCATTCTAAGTACTATATTTGATTTGCTTTTCTCATTATTTTGGTTTGGGCTATGAGAACTTTAGATTTCAGTCTTAAAAATGTGATAGGAGTTGGAAAATTAGTACAAATGTTGAATTCATTAAAGCCAGCTTGAGCTGTGTAGTGGGAAATGGGCATAGAAAGGCTCATGTCTATTTTACCAGATTTTTATATGTCTGATTTGAGTTTAATACTTGACCAACTGCCAGTTGTGTGTGTGTTTTGACTATCCTTTCCCTCTAGAAAAATAGTGGTTTCTGATATGGCTTTTTTTTTTATGGGGATATGCAGATCTCTGTGGCAGATGGAACTTCCTGGTGATACTGCAATGGCTATTTAATTTTTGCAATATGTGAAGGGAATTTAGTAATATTACTCTTCCAGAGTCTTTAAGTGATGCAGAATAGGGCAGAAAAGTCATTCTCTGAAATTTTATTCATGAACTTTTTTGAAAAACCTGTAAAGCAAAATGGTTTTAAGGTTGATTCCAAACGGAAGCTGAAAGAATGAGAAACGTCCCACTTTAAAAATGTATTTCTACCTGCTTCTATTTCTAATAAAATACATTTTAGTTAATGGTAGTATAAATATCTGTCTTGTGTGAGGATGCAGATTTTGAAAGGCTCAGTGTAGTAATTCATATATATGGAATGGTATTTCTTAGTGTAGGAATGAATTTGATAATACATTTTTAGACATGTACTTAAGTAATATTTTAGAGGAAAACCTTCTAAATTCAGAAAAATCTGCTACTGATGGTTTCTGTTCTGGTCTGATGGTTTGCGGTTCAGTGACCATTAGTCTTATGCTTGCATTTATCTGCTTTGTTCACACTCGTGATGCTTGTGAACTACAAAATGTAACTGTTTCCCTCTTCTCATGTAGGATTATGGCGCTGTCGAGGTACCCAATTGTAAAATCTACCCATCACCTCCTTCCCTCTCCAGAGGGAGAGATTGCACCTGCCATCTCCATGACCGTCAACTTCACAGGGAAACTGGTTGATTTTGTTGTTGCCCACTTTGGAAATGAAGAGTGTGTATTTTATTGATTGTTACATATGTTGTGCAAAGTTACGTAACATAATTGTAATTTGTGAACTTCTGGGATTTCATTTGTACCTTTTAAAATCTGCTGCTTCAATAATGGTTCTAACAAGGCACATTGAAGGAAACACTATGACATAGCTACTGGTTTAAAATTTTGAAGCATTTTTTAAAAGGGACAAATGTGTTACACAAACCTTCACTGAGCCTAAAATCTGAGTTACTAGAGATATGTAGTACTGCAAAATCACAACAAGTAATAGGGCTACAGATACATCTTGGTGTAGGATATCATCCTTCTGACTTTCTGCATGTGGAATAGATCTATTATATTCTACAAGAGCAGATAGTTACAATTAAATATAGATAGCATTAATGGACAACTGGTGTTTATTAAAATAAAAAGGAACAATTCTGAAACCTCCTAGAAAGGGCAGTGTTGAAACAGCAACGAAAGATATCCATTCATTGTCCTTCTACATGAAACTGGAAATATCAAATCCAGAGATCACCTCTGGATTTTGAAAGGAAGCATTATACCAATAAATAAAATACATAATGGGAATGATTAAGGTATATATTTCAGTTCTTTACTTTAAAACAATGTCTCGATTACTTTTGTGTATGAATATTAATAAGGGATAGTTTTATGATGCTCCATGTAGCTGTATTTTCCATTTTATTTGCAATATCTAATATGTTTGTGGTTATTTGGTAAGATTCGGACTTTTTAAATATTAGTTATGATTCATGGAGAGGCAAATTTATGGATTGGGTGCAGAATATAATACACAAAGAATCTGCTCAGAAAGCATTTGGAATTCTCACTATCCCATTTCCTTCCCCTGTGTAGAAGCTGTGCTCCAAGCATGGAAATTGTTTATAGATGTCCCTTCTACTCAGCACATACGGTTGTCACAAACCACTCCCAATTTGAACTCTAGAAAGGAATTTCATTTTGTGCCTCACACGGATGAGTAGACTTGCCTCTCTGAGAAACTGTTTGTCAAAGTAGAAGAAAATAGCACTGTATTCCCTCCCCCCCAAAGAGATGAGATAAAGATGAAGGAGAAAATAGGAGGAGACACATGGGAAACAAGTGCAAATTAGATTGTGTTTCGAGTTCAATGAATTTGTAAATAATGGAACGCGCAACTGCTTGTTTATCATCTTTTCATCTGCTACTTAGGGTGACATAAACTATGGAATACTGCATAACTATGGACTTTTTTTAAAGACCATTTTTTAAATGTGGGAATATAACAATGCCTGTGTCATTTAAAAGAATCTGTCTTCTGGAGAGGTGTAATTCTGGAAAGAGCAGCTCGCTGAGCTGGCTTCTATTTTAGTGGTCAGGGGTTTTGTGTCTTGCCTGTGTGCTCTTTCTCCCTAATGTGTTTGCTTCACTCAGAAGTACTGCTATTTAGAGAGCATAGCAGCATTAAAATTCTTGTCTTCTTTGGGGATTATAGATTCCAAAATTGGTTCCCTGCCTCAATTGTATTTAGCCCAGTCTACCAAAATATAGAAGAGAACATACTTTGTGCAACTGTTTAAAGTTATTAACACTAAGAGTCATAGAAAGAGAACTGCCTTTACATTATGTTATAACGAATCCAAGGACAGCGAATGGGATGCAATACAGTATTTTACCAGGTTCCACTTATGCTATCACTTCTGGTCATGTTGGAACTGTTGCGTAAATCTTGTTAAAGAGATGCAGAATACCTGCCAAATGTTATTAAGTAGTGTTAATGGGATGATGTAGCTCTTAAGTTATATTTCATAAATTATGTGACCCGGACTTTATATGTACTGTGATCTGTCCATCATAAAACTTTTGTTACCATGTAAGCTCTTTGTTATGCACAATTAAATTTCAAGTGCAGGCTGAGACAAAGCCTCAGATAACCAAAGCACTTACATTCACATTTTTTAGTGATGAGATCAGTATTAGAAACAAAACAGTAATAGAAAAAGTTGTTCCTACAATGGTTAGAAAGAGAACCCTAATTAGATCTACCACAACCATGTGGCTTTCATTGAACATAGTGAACATTTTGAATTGGTGAGCTTTGTGTAAACTTTCATACTCTAATACTGAGCAACAAAAAAGATGGCAGATTCATTTGTGGTTTGTTATGTTATAGGAGAAAGATTCTGAGCTAAAATGTATATATGTTAAAGTCTTTTCCATTTCTTTCAGAGAGGACTTGGACAGAAAACTCCAGGCTATAGCTGTTTCAAACCTATTGAAGACTAGCTCTAAGCAAGTTGTATTTCTAGGATACATCACTTCAGCTCCTGGATCCAGAGATTACACTGAATTAATAAAAAATGGAAATGTGCGGGTAATGTAAAAATACTGCTTCTTTTAGCAGTTAGATATAATATATATTTGAAACATTCAGCTTAATATTTCAAATTGGTAACTTAGACATATAAGGAAATTCATACACTTCAGCTGCTTGACATGTTATGGAGAAGGTGGAGTTACACAGTGAAAGGACAAGAGGCAATGGACAGCAGTTGGCACTGCTGAGCTGGCTTCTATTTTAGTGGTCAGGGGTTTTGTGTCTTGCCTGTGTGCTCTTTCTCCCTAATGTGTTTGCTTCACTCAGAAGTACTGCTATTTAGAGAGCATAGCAGCATTAAAATTCTTGTCTTCTTTGGGGATTATAGATTCCAAAATTGGTTCCCTGCCTCAATTGTATTTAGCCCAGTCTACCAAAATATAGAAGAGAACATACTTTGTGCAACTGTTTAAAGTTATTAACACTAAGAGTCATAGAAAGAGAACTGCCTTTACATTATGTTATAACGAATCCAAGGACAGCGAATGGGATGCAATACAGTATTTTACCAGGTTCCACTTATGCTATCACTTCTGGTCATGTTGGAACTGTTGCGTAAATCTTGTTAAAGAGATGCAGAATACCTGCCAAATGTTATTAAGTAGTGTTAATGGGATGATGTAGCTCTTAAGTTATATTTCATAAATTATGTGACCCGGACTTTATATGTACTGTGATCTGTCCATCATAAAACTTTTGTTACCATGTAAGCTCTTTGTTATGCACAATTAAATTTCAAGTGCAGGCTGAGACAAAGCCTCAGATAACCAAAGCACTTACATTCACATTTTTTAGTGATGAGATCAGTATTAGAAACAAAACAGTAATAGAAAAAGTTGTTCCTACAATGGTTAGAAAGAGAACCCTAATTAGATCTACCACAACCATGTGGCTTTCATTGAACATAGTGAACATTTTGAATTGGTGAGCTTTGTGTAAACTTTCATACTCTAATACTGAGCAACAAAAAAGATGGCAGATTCATTTGTGGTTTGTTATGTTATAGGAGAAAGATTCTGAGCTAAAATGTATATATGTTAAAGTCTTTTCCATTTCTTTCAGAGAGGACTTGGACAGAAAACTCCAGGCTATAGCTGTTTCAAACCTATTGAAGACTAGCTCTAAGCAAGTTGTATTTCTAGGATACATCACTTCAGCTCCTGGATCCAGAGATTACACTGAATTAATAAAAAATGGAAATGTGCGGGTAATGTAAAAATACTGCTTCTTTTAGCAGTTAGATATAATATATATTTGAAACATTCAGCTTAATATTTCAAATTGGTAACTTAGACATATAAGGAAATTCATACACTTCAGCTGCTTGACATGTTATGGAGAAGGTGGAGTTACACAGTGAAAGGACAAGAGGCAATGGACAGCAGTTGGCACTATCTAACTATCAGTTAGATAGCAGAAGAAAAAAACAACAAAATTACAGTTTAAGGTAGTCAAGCACTAGAATAGGGGCCCAGAGAAGTTACAAAATCTCTATCCTTGGAGATGTTCAAAAGTTGGCTGAACCTGCTTGAAGTTACTTTGAGCATGGGGTTGGGAGTGGGTGATCTCCAGGCATCCCTTCCAGCCTCTAATTCTGTGATTCTTTTGTTTCAAAACTGAGTTGTGCAGTTTGGTTTTCTGCCAGGAGATGTCAAAAGTTGTCTGATTTGTCTGTGTCTAAGTGGTTTTTTCATTTCTACTTTATTAAAATGCTTCAGTCAAAACATTTTTCTGCAGTAGGTTTACACATCGGTTCTGTTACTGATTTAAAGCCTGTGCATAAGGAAAGCTTGCCATATTTCTTTGACTTTTTATTTTTTCCTTTCATTCATAGGATATTGACAGTACAGATCGTGACAGATGGTGTAGCTACATTATGTATCGTGGAGTAATAAGGTGTGTTAAAGTGGATCATTTATTCATTGGTTTTAAATATCTTTGACAGTCAGTTTTACACCTTTCTGTAGATAACTGTAGAAGTCTTATATGCCTAAACAATTGCGTATGGATAGATGTATCATGAAGTAATCTGAAACATCAATCTCAGGATGAATTGGTGTATTTCTGAATATAATTTACAAAGATGGTATTACAGGTTTCATCCTTCTGTGTCAAAAGCCTTCAGATCTAATCTGCTTTAATAACATAGAACTACTTTTTTCCAAATCTCTGCCTTTGCAGCTTCATTCTAAAAATGAAGGCTTAGCCCTAATTTGTATGTGACACAGAAGATACAAATTTTGAACTTTGTAGGTTTGTTGATGCAAAAATGCTGATCTAATCCAGCCAAGCTTTATGCTGGTTTTAGTGGAAATTTTAACTGTGTAAGCCCATATTGAAGCACTTTCCTCTCCTGGGACCTATGCACTCCATATCTTTTAATACCAAATTGCTTGTAAATCATTCTCTTGTTGAGGTATGTACCAGAATGGAATTTGGCTTATGCTGAATAAACTGCAAATTCTGCAGTGTTCATGGGAGTAAAACCGGTAAATTACATAGCTGTCTTGAGTAACAGTACTATGTGAAAAGTAAAAAAAAAAGAAATAACAAATAAAAAAGAGGCAACAAACCCCCCATTTGCAATCTAATTTTTCTCAATACTCATTCCGTTGATGCTTGAGTTCCTTTCTTGAATTTCAAAATCTCTTCATTGAAAAAGGTTGGTGAGCTTGTGTACCAGTATGCATATTCTAAAATTCTGATTTTAAAAATAATTTTCTAAATCCAGAACATTTTTTTGTTGTCAGACACGCTTTCTCAGTTTTTCTACTTGTGACATTGTGTTGATGATGCTCGTGTTTATAGAGCACTTTAAGTTTTTTGAAGATGAGATTCTCGGAAATGGAATTTATGTTGATAGGTGAAATAATAGCTGTTGGAAAATAGAGACATGAATTAAGGATGTGGTGAAATTGACTTGAGTTATTTCTTCAAACTAACTCTTCGTGTATCTGATAGGTTGGGCTATGCCCGCATATCTCACGCTGGTTTAAGTGATTCAGAAGTCCAGATGGCCAAATTTAGGATCCCAGATGACTTGGATAGCTATGTTGACAATGACAGAATTGTCACTGATCCCAGCCAAGTTCCTGAGGACATCCATTTCAACCCCAGGTCAGTGTGTCTCATAAGAAATTAAGGGGATGGTGTTTGTAGCATCTTGTAAAAGAGAAGTCTAGGAACAAAATTGTTCTTAAAGCAGGAGGCATTGGTGAGTACCAAACTGAGCAAAAGATTAGGAGTCAAGAAGTTCTGATTTGTAATTCCATTTTTTCTACTGACTTGGCATGTGCCTTGGGAAAAATCAGGCTGCTGTGCTATAGCATAAATTGAAGGTAATGCTTATTTCACCCAGGTGATTAATTTCTGAGATTGTTTGATAGGGTTGTTTGCCAACTGGTGTGGTGACTCATTTTGTAGATGATGAGAGATCTCCCATGTTTCTCAGCAATTTTGAGCATCGGGGTCTTAACATACTGTTACTCAGAACACAGAATACAATATATACATTAAGTGCTCTTTACCTAAACATTTTAAAACATACTATATAACTGGAGTGAAAATTAAGGAGAATGCCTGAGGTAGTACATTACATATGTCAAGAAGGAAATGGGGGTAGGTTTTTACATGAAAAGTTATTTATTACTAGAATGCTGTAATTTTTTCCACTGGCGTTGCATAAGGAAGAGAAATACAGAGAAGGGTATTTATTCTACGCTGAATATCAGTGGAAGAATGATGAAGTTTGAGATAGATGTTGCCACAGAAAGACAATTCCAGCAATGCTGTATTTTTCTAACTTACATAATACAGAATATATACATTTCTTGTATACACCTAACACGTGAGCTTACTCGCTTGTTATTTACCTCTCAGCCACTGGCTTCCTGTCTAAGCAGGAGTTTGCCCAGTCTTTTCCACATGATGGAACTTGCCTAAAGTTAGCATTCACATTCAGATTTTTCTCAGCTGATTTCAGCACAGAATATTATGCTTGTCCCAATTTCTTTTATGTCTGCTTATAAGCAAAAAAAAAAATAAATACACCCTTTAGGAATAATTTTGATTTTTTCCAATTAACTACAGTTCTTTTGAAGTACAATGACACTGCTTTTAAATACTCTTTAGCACTGATATGTTGAGTAAGTACTATATTTTACTTTTGCAAATATATTGACCATAATAGTCAGTAATCAAAACTTTCAGATTTAAATATGGCATGAAAAATTACATTTTTCACCATAATTTTCAAAAGAAAGATGTGCAATATTAACAATAGACCTGAGTACTTGGTACTATGAGGGGTTAAATTCTATCTCCACTGAAGTTGGCAGAAAAATCTTAAAGAGCATAGGATTTGACTGGATAAATGCATCACTCACCTTTGTCAGCTAGAGTTCCATTTACACAGTGCATATGGCATTAGTCCAATGAGTGTAATTAAATGTCTCAATTATACTCGAAGACCTCTAGTTAGATAGCGTACATAGATGATGATTAATATCTAAGTAGGGTTGTGGCCTGTTTCTGAAATAAACCATCTAGAACATTCAGAAGGGTTGTTAATTATACTGTGGTAAGTGTATGATTTAATTGCATGGGTTAAATCATGTTGTAATGGTTTTGCTTTGTTGAATATTTTTCTTAGGTTTGGATCTTACAAAGATGGACATAATTATGAGCATATTCATCACTTTCATATGAGCACTCCGAAATATTTTAAACAGACAAATTAGAATGAGAAAATAACATGTCACTGGGACCAACAGGAAAGGTTTGTTGCTTGAAACTGAACTGGCAGCCAAAAAGCCTACATTGTTTAAGAATGAGCAACTCCTGTTCTGCGTAACACCCTGAATGTCGGTGTAACAGTTGGTGACTCTTTTCTTTAATGCGTTGTTGTCTCTGTGAGAGAGGGAAGATACATGCTTTTTGATAAACTGGTATCTACCCGGGCTGGATGCCCGCTTTGTCCGCAGCAAAGCAAAGGCAGGGACTTGCCTTGGTAATACCTTCCACTTTTTGGAAGGTATCGTATATTGTGCTGTGTCAGACTTGGATGTATCTGTCCACCTTTTCTTTAGGATCTGGATGTGATCCCTTTCCTCTGCTGGGACCTCACTGGAACAATCACAAGCAAGGAGTTTCAGCTGACACTTCCACACGTTTTTGATGACTGAAGCAAAGCAAAATAATGTGGTAGTGCAGGCATCCTGTTGATATATGCTGCACTTTGTAGTCCTGCTGCTATTGCAATGAAAAGTTTAGCCTCAGGTTTTTCAAAATGGGAATTAAAAAGTGTATTTTCTTTTTTTTTATCGGGAGGTATGCAGCAATTATGTGTTTACGTGTGCATTTTTGACTGACTGAAACAGTGTTTACTACTTCTGCTGTTTCACGTTGTGTTCTTAAATGAGTTTTATTAAAACAATTTGCAGTGCTTGATGTTCATAATACTGGAGAAAAGGCGGTGACTTTTACAGACTTACCTTTTTTTGACAGGACTGCAATGCTTTTACAAAGGGATGAGTAAAGTCCCTCTGAATAGTTACTGTTATGAGACACTTAATGTGAACACACTGCAGAAGAATTAAAAACAATCATGCTCAACATGACAGGGTTTCTCAGCAGGGAGAAAAGTTGTTTGTAATTTTTATTTAAAATGAACTGTAATAAAACAAAAATGAATTGTTCTTTTGCTAGCACTACACTTTTTAGTGGGACTAAATAGAAATGGGTCTTTTTTTGATTTAGGCAGTAGATTACCTACTATGTAACACACAGATATAACACAGTGTAAAACATTGTGTTTTCTCTGCCTCTCTTGGCAATGTCTTTTTTATTTAACTCCTGATCCTACAATGCATGTGCAGAGCTTCTCTTAAACAATGAGGACACTTTCAGTGCTGGCCAATGGAAGTTTCATGCTTGTGAGAAACATGTGAGATGGTTTATTTAAATAAACCCCTCAACTTGGAAACCACATTTGTGATGTATTAGTACTGTGTGTTTTTCCAGTAATACCTAAAACATGCTGTAACTGAAAGGAATAGGACACATTACAGGAAAGAGGTGAGGGGTGGTTTTTTTTTTCTCCCTCTCATTCTCCACCATGTGCTTTTAAGAACAGCTTGAGCATACTCAATTTTATTGGTTTTCTATGTAAGCAAACACAGGATATGTCTTCACCCGGGGTGTCTTGGTCTGTGGAGCCAGGTAACTTCTGCCATCACCGGTTTGTCACTTTATCCTGATCCTCTCTCATTAGGACTGTGTTTTTGAGAGTGAAACACTTCACTGATCTTTGTGGACTGAGGATATTGGAAAGGCATTTGAGGAATACACAGCCACCACAACTTCATCTCAGATGGTATGAGAAAGCCTGACTTTGTTAGTTATGAATAACCAGATTTTGTTGAACTAATTTACTTCTCACCTAGGTGTGCTATGTTTGTCTTTACAAGCCTCAAAGAAGTCTTAATTAAATACTCCAATTTAGGTATCCTTTAGGTAGGATTTGAAATCCTCGAAACTTGTTCTCTGTGTGGCTCTGCAGCAGGACAGAATAAAGTAAGTTTCAGAGCGATGGGAGTGACTTTCTTGCACTTTCAGCAGTTTTCTTCAGCAAACACCAGCAATCCTGGTCTCTCCCTTCTCCCAGCCTGCAGCAGCAGCTGGCACTGGCACCAGCATTGCGCAGCGGCTCCGAGTGTCCTCGCTTCTTTGCAGCGTGCTCTCGGGCGAGCTCTGACGCACATCCAGCCACAGGTTTGCCTTTCCATAGCCTGGATGAAACATAACATTAACTCGCCACATTACTTAACATCCTCCACAGGCTGACTCTGCAAAATACCTTGTCATGTGAGTGATTTATTCATCTGAGATGCAGGAAATGATACTCATAAAAAGCTTGGAAAATCCTTATTTTGTTAACAATTAAAAAAATAGAATCAGGGTATTTATTCAAGAAGTCAGGCTCCAGAGCATGACTTCCATAACATCAGACTGTGTGTTATCTCTGGGTGTAATCTTCTAAGTCTATGAGAATTTAGAATCAGGGTGTTTTTTCAAGAAGTCAGGCTCCAAAGCCTGACTTCCATAACATCAGACTGTGTGTCAACCCTGGGTGTAATCTTCTAAGTCTATGAGAATTCTAAATTCTGTGAAAATCCATCCAAGTAATGTTTGCCCCATTAGAAACATTCACATAGATATTGACAGAATCTAAAGTTTGAGTAGCTTCTTCTGAGTAGCATGTGTAATTTAACGTTGGATGAGTCCAGAACTCATAATGCCTAGTATCAGGAAACACTATGCAAATGTAATGATTAGCATGTATTTTTTGACATTTGCATTATTTTATCAGAACAACTAAGAAAACTACGACCACGATCTGTTTGTGTACTTCTACTACTGTGGTTAGAATTGGGAAGCTAAAACTACACCTTATTTGTCCTTGAATCTGCCCTATATCTGCCTGCTTTAGAAAAATGTGCAGTACATCTCAGTCGCAATCGCTGTGTTTCAAACTATGAGAGAAATGTGCTAGAACAGGTCCTGCTGCAGGGGCATGTGACTAATCTTGTTGTTTTCTAATCATACTCTCTTCATCTCAGCTTTCATAAGGTGGTATGTTATGAAAGAAGAAGTTTGTGGATATCTTTAACTATGCATTCAGATACAGCATGTAAAACATAAAATGTCTAAAATAGACATTATTTTCTAAAGGTTTGAAATTTTCCTGGTGGTAAAAAGTATGGATTATTTATATATGACTTCTAAATAATATCTATTCTGATGTACTCCTATTTCCATCCTCTCTGACATTCTGTGCAGGTCAAAGTTTCTGGGAATATACAGGAAGCGACAGCAGTACGTCAGGAGCTTCCCAGTGTGTATCTCATAACCAAGAAAGAAGGACTCTCAGTAACATGTAAGAGAGCAACTTCTGAGAGTAATTGTACTGGATTCTTCAGTGGGGTGGAGACTCAAGTCTCCTCTTACATATATTCCTGCTTTGGGGCCTTAACTCAGGCATTTCTATGTGTGTTTTAAGCTCAGCTTCAGGAGCAGTGGCTCCGGTGTTGTCACAGAGCGCTCTGAAACCTGGGAGCTGCAGTTTGAACCTCATAGACTAAGAGAAGGACCTGAATTTTTTACTTCCCGTTTTCAAAAAGGGGTGTCGCAGCTGGAAGCTTATTAAACAAAAGGGGGACACAGCCTTTGGTTTTGAACTGGAGTTGATGTCACTGAAACAAGTTGGGTGAAGTTTAAGTGACCAGCTCCCCCGTGTCTCACTGAAAGAGAACACAGGAAAAGTTCAGGGTCCTCTACTGACAGTGAGGGAGCTTCGTGGCCCCAGACAAAGGAGCTCGTTGTTTTGATGCACCTTCAGGGTTCAGGCAGAAATTCTGAGCTGCTCCCTTAAGCTTGACTGCTTAGAGCTTCCTAATTATGAATTAAGCAGATTTTTTTAAAAATTTGAAACCGAAGCTGAGAAAACACCTATAAATCCAATTTAAGGACTTAAATATGAGCTACCAACAGCCCTGAAACATGGTGGGGTTTTTTTTTTCCTCATGGATGTAAAATTACATTTGTTTGCAGTGTGCTGGAAAAGGACCCTCAGGGTCAGAGTGCTACATCTGTCACACACCTTTTTACTTAAAGAAGGAGCATAGTATGAGTCCGTGCAACAGGGCAATTAAAATAAGCTGAATTACTTAACAAGGAGTGGTTTGAAAGCAGTTAGCTAAGCTGCAGCTGCGACTTTCTGCCACCTGAGGTCCTCTTTTATCCCCGATCAGTACTGCTCTGCTGGTGCCAGGCAGGAATAACACACAGTTGAGGTGTTTCCTTGTAACGCTGAGAGTGAAAGATCTTTTCAGAGCATTACATAGAGCTGTTTGTATTGACTTGGGTATCAGTTACTTTTTCATATCTGCGAATGATTTGGAACTGCGATTGCTGGGCTTCTGGTGGACATTTTGTTTCTTTCCTTACAATGCCCTGGGCTGTGCTTTGTTGCTGTTTTATCTGCTTTGGTCATGTTCCGCAAATTCTGCTTCGCTAATAGTTTTTATTTTCAATACGATTTTCCTCCCCCTCTGACTTGTAAAACACATAAAGCTTTGGGTGGCAGAGCACTGGAACAGGCTGCCCAGGGAGGTGGTGGAGTCTCCTTCTCTGGAGACATTCAAAACCCACCTGGACAAGTTCTTGTGCAACCTGGTCTAGGTGGACCTGCTTTGGCAGGGGAGTTGGACTAGCTGATCTCCAGAGGTCCCTTCCAACCCCATGTGATTCTGTGATTCTGCTGCCTCAAATTAACTTTCAAGCTTGTTTCTGAGCAAAGCAAGATGAACAAAGGTATCTGAGAGACGCAGTGGCTTTAACAATTTGGAGTCTGATACCCTTTGGAAACAGAGGGGGGATCCTCTTCCTCAAAGATGCTTCTACACTATGTTTCTGATAGTGAAGAAGATAAAATGAAGTAAATGGCTCCCCTTTCTCCTGTTAGCCAGTCTCTTTCACAGTCTATGGTGATTTTTTTATGTTTGCCATTTTAGCTACCAGTTAAAAAGAGCAATGCAAACAGTGACCATCCTCCTCCTTGAAAAAAATTAAAAATAAATGTCTCCAGTGTTCAGTGTGTAAATTAGGTGGTGCATTTCCTGCTTCTCTGCAGGTTTATTATTCCTCTCCCCCGTGTTGATGGGAGCATTTGCACATACGTACAGGGAGCCAGATCAGGATATTCATCTGGCTGGGAAAACAAACAAATGAACAAACCCAGAAAGAGTCTTTAGAGTTTCTTGGGATTTTTTAGGCTTTTTGGGGACAATGGGGGACGTCTTGCCCTTTCATCTACCTTGCTATCTAACTGTCCAAATGGTTGCGTTGGCACGAGAGGAAGGATGCCAGGAGGGCTGGGAATGAGAGGGAAAGGCTGGAACTGCTTAAGTTGTCTCTGTCCTTGAGACAATGCTTGGTCACCCGCGATGTGCTCTCTGCGTAATGAAGTGTGTCTGTGTTTTGTAAACTCAGGCTTCAGAAAGAAAATACAGGCTGGATTTGGTAACCCCTGCCAGCCTGGGGGCTGGGGCAGGAGTTTGCAACTGGTGGTAACAAAGGGGATATTGACACCTTCTGGAGGTTGGGTCCCAAGGTGCATGTTGTAATGGGCCTGGTGCTCCTGGGACAGGCCTTTTCTGGCTGAAGCGTACGTGGCACAAAACAAAGTCTCTTTTGTGTTTCCCTATGGATTTCTTTGCGGATGTAGTTTTTGAAGGGTCAGAGATTGTACCTGTGCATTCAACTATTCAAAAATATTGTGAACTTCTGTTTGTCAGACCTACAGCATTGTTTGCTTTACACTTACGGATGGAGGTAGTTACAGAGGGTATAGTCTAAGGAAAGATTTGTAAAGCCGAGTAGTATCTTTGATTTTAGACAAACATAATGGGTTTTTTCACCCAACACAACAAAACCCCAACCTTTCTGACTTCAGGGTTTCCCTGTGCCACCATTCTTTAGATCTATATCCCTTTTAGGGATATGTAGGGCACGGGAGCAGATTTCTTCTTGTATACGTTTTCATTCCGAACTAGCAGCCCGTGTGCTTTTTATGGTCAGTGTGAACAAACAGGCACCCCTAAAGGAATTGTTCCTCTCAATCCAGAATTAGAACAGATCAGATGAATTGCGACTCTGTGGTGCCCCTATTGGGAATAAGAGCTTGGGATGACACGCACAGGCACGAATGCCCGGCATGCGGGATGTCAGGACTGCCCGAGGAGCGATACCTACCTTGGACTGCTTTAGGATATAAGTACTATTTATTTTATATTTTTTTTTTAAAGGTGGTAGTGCAAAAAATATACAATTGCTAAGGTAAAGACGGTGCAGATAGGCAAATATCAGAGAGAGAAAGGCGGGAAGTTCTACAGGAATAATTTCAAGGATTTAGTGAAACAAGT